TTTATAAGGTGCTTTATAAACTTGTTAAATAATGTCTGCTCTGAGGGTATGTAAAACGGATACCTTTGAAATGTAACTTACTTTGTAAGTACTGAAGAGATACTTAGAACRGTGAGCATCATTAGCTTACTCCAAGAGGACCAACACAATAAAAAGAGTCAATTACTTAGCTTATAAAAATTTACTGCTTCTACAAATTCTTTCCAATTACACCAAACTAAAGAAAAAAACAGAAAGTGAACCTTTCTTAAGTCAGCAACAGTTTGCTGCCTTGTCACCTGATAAAACACACCAGGATGAAGCTGCCCAGCACAGCATGCTCTCAGCATCGAATGCAACATGTTTATCAGGAGTAGCCAAGAAAGCATTCGACAAACAAAGTCCAAACCTGAAAWACCAACTTGAGAAGATTTTTTTAGGAATCCGAGGATATACTCATACTTCCCTTGTCTTCTGATTTACAACAACCCCTCTCTTCAGCTGAAACACCAAGGGATTAAAGAGATGGATAGAGTAATTTGTTGAGCTGTGCAGTGCAATAATTTCTGACACACTGACAACTCAGGAAAGTCCCGAGTTCAGAGAGCCACAAAACCTACAGTTCCAGGGACAYAGGAACTGCAAAACTCATGCTAAAGGGAGCATGGCACTACACCAACATTTCTCCCTCTATAACTTTCTCATCTGGGCCTATGGGGCTGGGCATCTCAGCCTCAGCACAAGGTGCTGTTACATTTCGGGGTCAGTTGCAATTTACACCAGGCGTAGCTTTCAAATTGACCAAATTCTATGGATCAGCCATGAGTGTGGACATCCTACACTAGAGAAGAACAAAAGGGAAACAAAAGAGGTTAATATCACAAAACAAATCAAAACCTCAAACKAAGTGATTGCTTGAATACAGACATACTTCCCCACTCAGTCATAGCACAGAACTCAGCCCTAATGCCAAGCTCTTTTCCCCATCACTGCTGAGAGGTCAGCTTCCCTTGCAGATTAACACTTTAATGTGCACCAAAACCAAGYGACATAGAATCACTTAACCAGGCCAGTTTAGCCAACCTTTCATACAAAAGAAAAATGAAATACCAGAAACACGTTTCATGCTGCTGCCAGAGGGGCTGAAGAGATGTGTGAGKACCACACAAAGCTCTGATGGCACTTTTGATGATGGGTACATTCACTGTGCCACAGCGTGGGTGCTCCCAAGGCAGGGGCTGCATGCAGCCATCCTCAGTGGGCCACACTTGCCCACAGCAAGGCTGGGGGGAATCTGCAGGGAAACACTGAAAGRCTGAGAGGACAAACAAGTGCACACCAGCCAGTGGCAGCTGCAGCATTGCTCTTAAAGTTCAGTGGCAAAACTCATACCGAGAACTCAACATTAGAGCAAAAAGACTGATTTATCAGTACATAGCAACAAGGCTCAGGAAAGAGAGAAAGGAATAGCTGAGATAAAAAGCTTAAGCTATCTAAAACCTAATGAGGCCCTATGATTCACTGGGATATCTGAACCTGAAGTAGGGAATGCCTTCAATTAGGCAGAGTTCACAACAGGACTCAATGGTTAAACTTGGTTTCGATTTTTTTAAAGCAGACTGTCTGCATCACTGCTACCTGACACTACTCAAAAGGCACAGCACGCTGCCATTCCAGCTGAAAAGCAGGCAGAGAAATAGGCAATGCAGGCCAGAGAGAGAAGGCAAGGTTTAAAAATAAGTTTCAAAAGAACATTCTGAGAGAGTTTCTTTTTCTTGCCTTGGCTGTGGCACATGGTCACACAAGCAATTGGATCTACACAGCAGATTGGTTTCTCACTGCTGGCTGTCCCAGCTCACCCTCTCCTGCACAAACTCTGGTGTTTTTGTGACTCTGGGCTGAACTGCTTCTGTGTTAAGTCAGCAGAAAGCCAAGCCAACAAAAAGGGCAATAGGTTTCTGCTGGGATGTCATGCAAAAACAGTGGAGCAGAGGCTGAGAAAGGAGACAGGCTTAGCTGCTCTGGCAGTGCAGGCTCAGGCTGATCAGCGAGTGCATCCACAGTAGCTTCACTGGCACTTGAAAGCTCCAAATAAGGCTTTAGTATGATAAATATTTATTTCAGCAAAAACACCATCTTATGTGGCATTATCTCATCTTCTCCCTGTCACACAAAACTTTGCCCAGACACTGTCTGTGAGGGGGAAGGGATATTTTTGTTGTAGTTGTTTTCAATCGAGACCAAGTGTCCATTCAGCTTGTCACGTGGCTCTGTGAACAGGTGTGCTGGTGAAAGAGAGGGGCTGCAAAGGACTGAAAACAAGCAGCTGGAGGAAGGAGGGTGCTTAAACCTTAAACAGSACAGAAAGTTTTGGAAGTCTGTATTTGTGAAACAGTATTGCAAATTCAAGCCAGGCTATTCTCCTTAGTACTGGCTACACACTTAACAGGAAATTCTGCTCTAAAATAAATATGGGCTAAGTTGAAAAAAAAAGAATAAATAAGAAATAGGTTTAAATGCTAAATATATAAAACAATAAATAACTGAATYATATATATCTTACATCATTATCCCATCTTGTGGTGAGTGAGCAAACATATGTACATTAAGGTATTTAYTCTGGTATACAGGAAAATAATTTAATTGCAGACCACGTCACAGATTTCTTATGTTCCTGCTTTGGATGCAGCTGACAGCAATCTCATAGCCTCTGATCAATAAAATGCCTCTCCCAGCCACGTGATTCTGCAAGATACCTTAACCTATTCCTAGCACCTTTTGGATTCTTTCCTGAGCTTATGCAACTAACCTACATGGCAGAATGTGAACTGTAGTSGCTCATACAAGATTTAATGAGTGTCAGATCTAATACATGAGAACAGTGGCAAGAGGGAAATGCAGAACAGTAAAAACCAGCAGGAGCAGTACTCTTACTTAGCAAGAGTAACTAAACTTATTCAGCTAGTTACCCAGCTGCAGCATAGCTGTCCTGCACCCTGGCTGTCTGATAAAACTACAGGATCAGCTTTCCCCAWGCAATTTCGGTGGCCATACAGTGTTCAGGCAAACTCCACACTGAGAAGGAATGCAGTGGAATTTCTTGCTCCCTGCTTTGCTGTGCAGATCCACAAGGCACTGGCTCTATCGGTTTGTACCGATATCAACCCAGTGTGGACTGGTGCACACTTTGTAGCTGTCATTTTACACTTCAGTTGTGTAGGATGGGATAGGACAGTATTTAATAAACCAGTGAGTGCTACATGTAGACTCTGCCCATGTGCTCTGACCATTACCAGAAAATTGTATTTTTTAAAATCATAAAGCTTATGATAATTACAACTGTTAGAACAAACATTTACACTTGTGACTACCTGCAAAGCTGATTTAAGTAGGCCACTCTATGAGCTATTGYTTTTAATAATCTAACAAGGATCTACAAATCATGCTGAAATTCCTGGCTCTGCAGAGCAAAGGCAGTCTTATTCTGAAGCCAGTTTCATGGGGATTTGTGTTTTGTGGAATAAAATCTGAACAAGAGCCTTTAGCTGGCAGCACACAAAGGTTTTCCTATATTGAAGCTACGCTGCTTTGTCTCCCAACAGAGAAACTGGAGCCAAAGACAAACAAAGCAGAAAAGAGTGTTAAAGACAAACAGGTGGATAAGACTGAAAAAAAGCAAGAAATGCAAGGATATGCTCTCAGTGCCTGAGGGACACACTCAATGGARGGGAATCCAAATCCAAGGCAATATATTTTGGGCTCCAAAACCTGGCTCAAGGCTCAAGACTGTCGCCAGCATACTTCCATTCAATTGATACACAACTGACTCCTCACTTGAAAAGATTGCTCCCTGCAGAAACAAAGTCACTTCTCATGGCTCATGAAAAATGTYAGCTACCCTAAATGCCTTTGCTCTTCATTCCACAAAGCCATGTAACAACAAACATGGCCCAGTGAAATAGGAATTCAACTATCATTAAATAAATGTGTTCAGAAAGCAAAATATTCTTCTTTGAATGGATGTTTGATTAAGAGAGAGACATAAACAGACCCTTAAACTGTAAAACCCTGTAAAAAACAATCCTTTCTTATATACAGGTGTGATATAAACATATATATACATGTTTCTCTACTAATTTAAGGGTGAAAACATAAGAAACCTCATGTTTCACATTGCTGCATCTCTTCAAGACCACAGTTCCAGCATTACTCAAGCTTCAGCTTTAGGGTTAATGTAATCCAACCTKGGTGTTCAGGACAGAGAAGAGAATRGCTGCAGCAGTGCAAAGGCATTGCTACTGTGAAGCAGCAACATCCCTTTTATTTAACTATTTCTAAGGTTTAAGCGCTCACAACAATTTTTATAAAAGCTGCTTCACCGTTMAGCCACAAGTTTATTTTGCCTGCAACTGTAAGCTCTATGTGTCTATTGTTGCTTGTGCAGGCTGAATTCCTAATGTAAAAAGAGTCTGCCCACTCAAATGCTTTCATGGGAACATAAGGGCCTCATGGTGAGGTCTAACAATGGACCAACCTGATGGCTCACAGCCACCAAAATGAGGCAGTAWTAACTTTTCTTCTGCCTTTCCTCTGCTAGTCCTCTGCGCTGGCTCAGGGACATCTGACCTCTGATTTGGCTGAGTTTACTGAACTGGCAGAGAAATAATTCAGCAGGAAAAAAAAATGGTTTCTGTTGGTTTATCAAGTGAGGCCAGATACAACAGGACACCTCTTTCAAAGTAATCAAATTACTTTGGATTACAATTACAAAGCAACCCAATTTGACTGGTTCACCCACCTCGTGGAGTCTCAAACATGGTGATGGGATCATTTGAGATTAAGGGCAGGGTAAGAGAAGAAGTGCTTTTCACTATTTACACATTCACTTTAAGTTTATTGTATGCTGATAGCAATAATAAAGTAATATTCTTACCTTTAMTTGCTAATTTCTCCATTCATTTGCRTCACTTTTTGCMAATTCACCAACAGATCAYAATACAATAAACTGAATATTCACTTACCTACAAATCCTTTCTCTCCAACTAATTTAAGGGCGATTTTATCCGCCAAAACAGAAGAATTTCCATGTGCAATGTTAGCAAAAGGTCCAGCGTGAACAAATACCGGTGTCCCCTGGAGGATAAAAAAATATACGTGTAAGTAATTCAATGAATAGATATCATAGTTAATCCCACACAGCTCATACTCACTCCTCTACCAGTGGGATGGGGGACCCAATCAGAAGGGTTAAAGCTAAGAAAACTCATGGGTTAAGGACAGTTTAAAATGTTAAAAGAACACACAAGCAAAGCAGAATAAGGCATTAATTCCCTACTTCCCACACGCAGGCAGGTGTCCAACCATCCCCAGGAAAGGAGAGCTCCATCATGTGCAATGGTTACTCGGGAAGRCAAACRCCATCACTCTGAAYGTCCCTCCTCCCTCCTCCTTYCCACAGCYCTRCATGCTCAGCAYRATGCCAYATTGTCTGGAACACCCCTTGGGCCACTTGGGGTCAGCTGTCCCCACAGTGTCCTCTCCCAGCATTTTGGGCACACCCCAGCTGCTGGTGGGGTGAGAGACAGAAAAGGCCCTGGCTCTGTGCAAACCCTGTTCAGCAAAAACAAAAACATTTCTGTGTTATCAACCCTATCCCAGCCCAAACCTCAGTAATTTTGCAGACTAAYAGAAATTATGTATTAATCAAAGCACATACAGCAAGGAAGTGTTGTTAGACAATTTAGGGGTTTCTAGGTACAWCTCAGGTGCTTGGGACCCCATTCACCGACAGGCTCAGATGTCAGAACCTGCTCCATTCCTAGAAAGGTAACAGACAGCAGTGCAGCCTGCACGACACTTACACAACTTCCCCACCCAGACTTGCACTAATTAATGGTTCATATTTCCCCAGCTATAACACTGTGCTGTGGAGAACAGAGGTACAGAGCTGAACCCTTACTGCAATAGACACCTTGCAAATACACAGGGGAAGYTGACTCTGTGGCATGAACCAATATAAACCAGAGAAAGGAGAGGTAAGKAGCAAGCAAATTAACTAGGTAAAGGAAATTTGTAAGGTAGGAAGCAGTTCTCAGCTTCCCTTGTATGTTTTTGGCAGGCATCCCAAGAAAAATTATTAGTTAGAAAGTAAGCATCCACAGAAAGGGATTAGGTAGGATTAGGTGAGATTACATGAACTGCTACTTTTTCTCTAAATCAGAATGCACARTCAGACAGAAGGATGTCACTTCAGCTGTTTTACTACAAAATACTTAGGCAARCAAATGCCCATTGTTGTATTTATGCATCTCAAAGTGCCCAGCTGGTTAAAGAAGAGGTAAGCAGTCAATTTCACATTATCTCCATCAATGTTCTCACATTCTGTACTAGGAGTTACTGCCAACCCTCAAAATTTCAGGCAAACTACTGGGGAACCTCCCTCAAGTTTGGACCAGAAACACCAGTTAAAGGGTGTTCTATGGATCAGCTGCAGGGCACATCCAACAGTCCCCTGAACCACAGCTTGGAGACTATTAACCATATAATACAAATTGGTTTTTCCCCCTCCCCTCCCCCAACCACCAGTGTCTTCATGCAACAACCTACATAGGAAAATTATTTCATTTTTTGTGWATGAGTATTTTATAGTGAAATATRTTACTTCACTACTGYAATCAAAATGGTGTTTTATGGAAAACATGGACATTTTAGTAATGATGATTAGAAACATATATACATATATACAAAAATGATATACCAACAAAAAGCTTCTCTTCTTATTGCTTCCTTTAAAAGTAATAACAAATAATTAAATTGTTTCGCTCAGAGGAAAGACAAGTAACSTTTTAGCCACTGCCACATGCACATCCATTTCTAGATGGATGTTCTCTAGAAATGACACAATTAAGCTACACTTCAGATAACAGTTTGAGCTTTACTTCTACTTTAGTATTTACTCTTCTGGCATTCAAATAAGACCACAAGCTTTCAGCTACCAGATTCAGATCCATAAGGCTTATTCCAATATTTCTTTTATTACTCAATAAGTCCAATTTTACTCTTCCAATCCCTAATTTCTTGTGACTGGTCTTGTTAGAGCCCAGTGCACACACAGGCGGATGTGACACCCACAGCCAGACTGGTCTGCCCAGCGGATACTGCAGCAGCTATGCAAGGAGAGGTGCCAGAAGGGTCACCCACTACACTCCCTGTGCAACTGTGCTTCCAAGAGTTCATCCACACARCATGGACAGGAAGGAAATTTGGAGGATCCAAAATCCAGAATATTCRAAGTCAAGAGGCTCCCATGACTAACTTGGAATCCAAACACACTACTAAATCACTGGCACAGACATGCTCCCCTGGAGCTTTGAAATCCACCAGAAGAAAAGGAAGAGCTATTGGAATGTTTTTTTTTAACAAGAGCAGCCCTGGMAGAAAAGTAAAGTCTAGGTACTGAAGGGAGTGAACTCCAGCAGGACCTCGGGAGCCTCAGGCACACCCTGGAACAGGRACAACAGTGTCTTCTCAGGCCAGCTCTAGGGACTGTGCCAGTCCATCTGTCCCACTTATTTTTGCTACACTCTTGATAAACTATATGGAGAACCAAACAGTGGCACAGGGATGCATTCTGCTGACTGTTTTCAGTACAGAGAATTTTATTGTCCAAGTTTCAGTAAAAGAAAATAAACCGAGAATGCCAATAAATATCTGAAGCTATCTGGCCGCTAGAAGGATGTTTATAATACCTATTACCATCCTTCTCTCATCTTTACTGTGAGTGACACTTCAAAAGTAACACAACAAACCATTCCAGAGCAGCCAGCCTGCAACTACAAAGGGCTGTACCATAGAGCAGCTGCTCTGTTACGTGTGGTATAAATAAATGCTAAACATTAAGGGATCAGCTGACAAGAGAACAAATCTGTCATGAGAAACATGGATAAACACTGTGAAATCATTATGTACATTCCAAACAAAGTAATCTCAATTCTACAGCACTGGATGTAAGTCCTACTGAAGTCTGAGGTTATTGCAGATGWAGTGCATCTGCAATTTTGAGATCTGCATCTCCCATTTTGAGATTTTTACTGTCATTCCTGCACATAAAACACTGTCAATCATTAACACTTTCAGGCGGCATTTCTGGTGACAGAGTAGCAGGGCTGTGAAGGAAAGCAACCCACCAAGAAGCCTCTCTAAAAAGCAGCAAATTAAAACACACATCAACTCACATGTGAAGGAAAGCACTGACATAGGTTGCCAGCTCAGTTCCACGCAGGACTGACATTTGGCCATGTTTGATTTATGACCTTCTAAACCTCCTCCCCAGTGCCTGCAGACATACATATAAAGTTGGTGCAAATCTACCAAGCATGTTGTTCTTCTCCCCTTTCACAAGCCCTCAGAAGCAACCCCTCAGACTTCCACAGCTTAACACAATTCCCATCTACAGGCATGTGGCCAGATCACAAAGGAGTGCAGCTATCTCGGCAATGGCTGCTTCCAGACACTGCTACCCACAGACACTACGATTTACAAAYTATGCCAAATCAGCTGTCAGTTACCCCAATCTCCTTCTCCCTCTCACCTGGCAGTATTTTTGCYATTCCCCAAAATAATCTGGAAGATCTGCTTTGGGAAGTGGTCCCAGCACCAGCMTGACAGAGYTCAAGGAGCAYATTCTCAGGCACCGGGTGTGATRCTTTGGAATGRTCCTGTGGCAGGGCCAGTTGGGGGTCCTTAGGGGGTCCCTTCCAGCTCAGCAGATTCTGTGGTACTACATGAGAGCAATGACACAGCCCAAAAGGACACCAGGCAAAGCACAGCACTACCTTGGAAAACATTTGRATAAACTGGGGATCTCTTGGACAGGTGACTCATATTAGCCTGCAAGCCAGCAAGTATTCAAAGGGTGACAAGAAATCATCTTTAAGACTCAAAGTGGAGGAGTGGAGCATGAAGCAGCCTTCTGAGCTGCTTTAGTTTTCTGCTTTAATAGTAACTACGTGAGAAGAATTTAGGGAAAAAAATGTATCTTTGGGTAATGTGGTCGGGGTCCTGCTAACAAGCAATAGTGTTTGATGAAAGTTGGCAGATGTTTCAGCCATAGCATAGATTAAACTAGAAAAGARTACCACATAAAAGGCAGCAATTTTACTGCATGGAAATGTGAATATAAAGAAATGCAGGGAAAAAAATAAATGCATGCAAGTCCCACAACCAAATGCCTATCATTCAAAATAAACTCTTCTGACATTTATAATTGTCTTTTAGGACACTGCAACAAAACCACAGTATTTTCCAACAGATATGCRAAGTGCAAATAGAGTGACTAAACAGTCAGAATCAAAGCTCCCTTGTCACTGGTGCTTAACATACAAAATGWTATCCCAGTGGTGATTTAATACTCAGCTCTGGCTGTGACATTCTTGATCTTGCGTGACCTCCAGTTTCTGCTGTTGGATGCTACATTAAATTCTGGCACACACACATTCTTCATACAACCACATGAAAGAGCAGGTAGTCTTTGCAGGGGGAAATAATTAAGGTGGCTATAATGAAGTAACATGGACTTAAATTTTAGTTTTCTACTATTCTCTGAGACTAGGAAGTTGTCCCCATCCAAACACAAAAGAAAAAAGGTAGTTATCACTTTGACATGATGTAGAAAATCAGAYATTTTTATCAACTGGTGATTGTACTGGTACCTTTCTTCTTTCTGGCGTTTTTCAACTTTTTACCATATCAGGAATTGTTATCAGGAATTGTGAAATATTCCAGCTGCGAAATTTCAATGTTCAAATGAAACAAAAATATACACTGATTTTTCTCCAAGTGCACTTGTTTTCAAAGCTGCCTCATTATTTTCTCATTTTTCTTCCTCCTTCTCCCCGATTGTTGCTCATCGTTCATCTTCCCATGGAAATGGCAATACTAGACTGCCCAAACACAAAGCTAGGTTGCACTAATTCTACATTTTTTAAGCTGTTGGAAGAAAGCTCACAAGGGTAGGTGTAAATCATTCCTCTCATACACTAYCAAATGGCCACAGCAAAGCATCTGCTTTCCACACAAAATGCTGGGCTGTGGGAATCATCATGGGAACATCCATATAAAAAATACATAAAAGGAAACTTCCCCATGAGAACAAGGTGGGAAATGCTAGCAAATCTGTGAAGATTGGTCAGAAGACCAACCTGCTTCCCAGTGTGCTCAGAAGCAGCTCAACAAWGCACTGCAGCTTGTTTGCAGCACTAGGTAAAATGATGGCTATAGCTGGATCTCACTGAGTAAGAAAACCACCAAAAAGATATAAATGCAGATAGAGCTGAATAGTTAACATAAACAAATGAACATTTGCTATAACGCCTTTATGGATCTGACCCTGGCTTGAACTTTGAAAGTCAAGCACAGTTGCTGGAGAGAAGCAGGATCAGCACAATATGGAATGTGAAAGTTGGAGAAGGGCAGGCATCATAAGCCATACTCACCTCTAATGTCTGCATTAGTGTTGGCTTAATTGCATCTTTCATCAAAACTGCCAAAGCACCAGTTACTCCCTAAAAAACAAGAATCCACATTTTAAAGAAGTCAATTCTAAGGTGCAATATTTCCAAGGTRCACTTAAGATTATAGTTAAACAGTCCTTACAGTTCAAAGCAGTGTTCCAGTGATTCATAAARAATTTATTTAGATACTACCTCAAGACTTCTGAAATTCTGTATTTACAGTGTGTCAAAAAGAAAAAAAAAAAAGATTTTGTTCTGAATACACTTAAAAGGCAACAGGTAATTTGATTGTCCTATTTCATGGAGAGATCAGAAACAGAATTAAGCGATCAGCATGAGGATGTTCAAGGTAACAAAAGATGAAGTGCCAAAGGCCACTGAGACCTGAGAAAGTAAGAAGGCAATAACTTGATAAAACTGCCTAAAGAAATGACAGATGGATTTCTTTTATGACAGAATCAATAGCAYAAATCAATAGCTAGGAACAATCAGAAAGGGTATCAAGACTTGTACAAATATATACACAACAGACACAGGATGAAAGCAGCCACAGAGTGTAYTAGGGGCAGATAAGGAAGACATCAAGATATTAGAAGTTGGAGGTGCCTTAGAAAAAAAAAARAAAAMSACCACAGAGCGTGCACATCACTATCAGGCTGTATGTAGGGTGCTATCTAGAAATCACCAGCATATGTTCAAATTTATTCTTGAATTACTTTGATTTTGAGATGATGTGTTTCGTTTTGAAAGAACTAGATCATGGTTCAAAAAAAACACAGCAGTGTTATAAAGAGYGGCTCATAGGCTTGCCAGAGAATACAAAAAAATGAATTTAATATATTTTTGTATTGAAAAGAAACATAGAAACCAAACAAAAACGCTAGCTGTTGTAAATTGTTTAAAATGAAGATTGAAAACCAGGGGTACATTATCCAAGTAGCTTATAAAGAGATGAACAGTAATATTCAAATTAAAAAAAAAACAATAAAAATAGTGCCTCTATAATTCTCAACACAGCTTTTATCAGTTAACCCAAAATTTGAGCAATCAAAGTCTGCATGAAAATTTTGATGGTAACAGATAAGAGGCATAAAAGTATGTGGTGATTAAGTACAGTATTTTATAAAACTAAATTTTTCCCTCTTTGAGCATCACATCTGAGCACAGACTTCAGAAGAAAATTACACAGAATATTTGGCCTTAGATAAATCTGAACTGAAACCAAAATAGTAAAACTGGTTTCTACTAATGCATAGCAAGAGTTTCCTTGGGGGACTGTGAAGGAGAGAGAAGGAAAAGATTTTTCTTCACACTCTGCATCTCCCACTAGTAACAAAAYCCAATGGATCCACAAAGAAATGACAAACTGGTAACAAAACAACATAGCTTTTAATCTTCTGAATTAGCAAAGGAATAGATTGCTGTTTCTTAGCAWGTTAATTTCAGAAGCTAGGATTAAAACACAAGGAAACATAAGCACCCCAGCTCTTCCAGAACAGGTGAGGCTCCAGCACCTCCATAGAAGCAGCCTGGTACTATGTGGCTTATATAACCAAAAWATCTCATTTGCCAAATGCAAAACTTTACATCTGTTTTTTCAAGTGGCCAATAGCAAGAATAACCACCTGAGCAGCCATGGATCAGCCCTCCTGACCCAAGCCAGGCCAACTGGAAAGAAGACTTGTGGGAAGAAGTAAAAAATAAAATCTGGGCACCTCTGCCCCAGCCTCCTCCCCTGCCCCTTCTGACAATATTGGCCCAAATTCTGTCTCCTTTGCCTTGTGATTTCTTSACCAATCTAATAAAAATAGTGAAGTAAAAAAATACTTCCTCTGCATTTTGCCTTTTTGGGAGATACACGGATGCATTATTTGGAAAATATTAAGACACTTATTCTGGACACAATGATTCATTTTATCTGAAGCTGAAAGCAAAGAAAAAACCATGTAAATATTCCAATAGGCATATCATGTCTATCTCCCTCCCATGGTTCTTAACCAGATTTGGTGTCAACAACAGTCCTTAAAAGTCAAATAAAGAGTAAAGTTTTCATACCTCTCTGACATGACTGTGAGAATGAAGTTTTCATTTCTTTGTATCCTCAATTCTCCAAGTGTCTAGTAAACAATTCCTACAGCTCACTCCAAGTCCTGGATCTGATTCTCAAAGCTACTTAAGGAATCAGATTCCTATTTCCAATTCAGAAAAGGCAGATAAACTTCTCATGAAAGAATTAGGGGCTTAGACACTCACACTCCAATTAAGCACATGAGAGCCCAAAGATCATTAGCTTTCCACTAACTCACTAGTAATAGTGAGAAGAAAGAAGCAGGGCTCTGAATCAATTGTATACAGACATCCAACTTATCTGAGTTCCCTCCTGGAACTGATCATAAGTATTCCTGAAAATAATGCTCCTTCCATCTATCCACCAGCTATCGGGGCAGGTACGCTCCCCAGGACAGCACAGATCATAGAGCACAAAATAAAATAAAAATAAAAAAATAAAATAGAGCACAAAATAAAATAAAATTGTACATGTGACACAGGAAAGGCAAACCTAAGTGAAAATCCAAAATACTTTCAAAGCAACTTCCAGTGGAGCAGTCTCTGAAGTCTATCAAGAGTGGAAATGAAAGCCAGCATCAGATGACAAGGAAGGTGATTGAAAGTAACTGCTATGAAATGAATAAAGGCTGACTGAAGGGCCGAAAAAAACACACTTCTTTTTAAGAAAGTAATGAAGTACTTGTAACTTCCCTTCAGTTGAAGCTACAGTCTTTAACAAAATAATACTATTTTCAGCTATTTCAGTTCTGTAAAAAACTAAACCTTAAACCATMATTTGAGAAGAACTGCAGCTCCTTTTGTTTGAAGTGAACAAGGTACACAATGTTTCTGATGAAGCAGAGAACAAAATCTCACTAGCTGAAAGACCACTGATATAAATAAATATTAAGCTATTTTTTTTCGGTCCTGGAATTACTGAAATCTAGRAGTATGGCACAGAAAGTAAGTTGAGAAGAAGGCTTATTTTAAAAAAAAATAGTGACATATTTATTTAATATTTTTCATATCTGATGAAATACTGATCTAGGGCATACATACTGATTTAACTTCACATAAAAATATGGTATGTGTCCATCAGAATTCTACTTCACCGTAAAAGCCAAAAAGCAATTAAGTCTTCAAAATACTGTACAATGAGCACCACATTTTGGCATAGACTTCAACATATTCCATTACAGAGGATAGACATTTAATCCATTACTCTTGTGGAAAGAGTCTTCTCAATTCATGAAATATTCAATTTATCTTTTTTCTATTACTCCTAGCCTGTCTCTGCATATGGTTTGTATCTGCCAATGTGTACTTTAGGTTTTACTATTGTATTATTATAAATATATTGCATATAAAGTCAAAATTAAGAGCAATTGTATTTTYGTGATTTTTTTGTGTGTACATCTGGAAGCAAATCACAGAGAAAGGTTTAGTGGTTTTGACTCACATAGATTTCAAAGAACTAAAGACTACTGTCAAACTTTCAAACTTGCATAAATTCAATCTCTGTAGGATATAAACATGAACCCCAGAAATCTTTTTCAATGATAGGTAAAACTGACCCATTCTTCAGGTTGTTGTGGTATTTCTTATGATAAAATTGGCTTTWAAGTTTCTTAGAACTATATGCAATTGCAGTTCTTTGGAATAAAATGTTCCATGTCAAGGGACTATGACAGATTCAAGCTTTTAAACTTGATTTTGTTTCACAAAAATGTAAGTCAAAATTATTGAACCTGGATTGAGAGCATTCTAAAATCTTGTAAAGTGTTTTTCCTTTGTTGAATTGTCCTGGCATGTTTCCTTTCTCAACTATAGAGCTTTACCTCTTTACTGACCCTGACTTGAAAGRAGGATGAAAATTCAGGAGGAGAATGGCTTCACATCAAACCTCTTGACATGTGTGAAAATTTTCTCAAGATATAATCCTTGGATTATATCAACACAGGCAGCACAAGCTGCAGGGGGGGAAGAGGAGAAGAGTAGAGGCTGCATTTAAAATATCAAAACATCAGGTTTAGTTGCAAGCTGCTCCAACAGATTGACCACCTGTGGAAAGAAACCAGCAACAGAGATGAAATACTATAWGATAGAACAGAAATTTATCTTCTTTTTACATATAATTATGACTTGTTATGGTCTTTGATTATACCTCTCCTGCTGTTGTTGCCCAAGGATTCAGCTTTATACACTTTCACCAGTGGAGTACAGTTATTCATAAGCTCTCTTCCCTTGTACAAAGTAAGCATTATTTAATTTGATACAGAAATCGTAGAAACCTCACTAATTTGTTTTGACATTTTTAAAATCCCAACACTGCAGCATCTGACTTCTTCACCAATATTAGTAGGTCTTCAGAAATGAACAATTGCTCCTGTCTTCAAAAGAGAAATGTGCACAAAAGAATCCAACTCACAAATATTCACCAATTTTGGATGCTCAACCTGACATTATTTCTCCTGGTTCAAAGTTCTTGATACTCTTTCCATAAATTTCCATAAATTTCAGTTGTTTAGCTCCCTAGTATTAAACCAGGCTGAGGAATGTGTAACTCCTTATATACCGTAAGAATCAGTTTGTGTGGACACAGCATCACATACAAAGTTAAAAAAAACCCACAGGAATAGAATTCTCTAAAGAGATGCTTTATGGCCTTAACCATGAAATCRTATTCTTCTTATTCCCATAGTTCTCCTACTCATTTTTAACACACTGGACAACAAAGGAGGCAGGAGTTTCTGCACTTCCCAATCATGACATGCACCTAAGTCTTTCCTGTGCACAGAATGGAGAACTCCAGAAGACAAAGAACACAGCAACAAAGCTGCAGATGCTCACAACACATATCCTTCAGACTGTGATGATTCTTTCTTTCTGGGCAGTTTTTCTTTTGTACAATACTAAACACTGCTCTAAAGAACAACTAGAAACATATGTTCGGTACAAGCAGCACTATCAAATGATTGAGACACTRAGCATAGGAAGTTTGTTTTAAAAAAGGCCAAAGAAAATGGAATTAGTAACAGACATTTTGCTGAGCACTACTTTCATTTTAGGGACACAGWGGAAAAGTTCTAGAATTCTTTTGCCCCTATGGAAAAGCATTTCCTTCATTCATCAAGCTGATTAGCAGGTTAAATATTTTGCAACACTTATAAATTAAAGTACCTTCATAAAAACTAGTGTCAAAATTAAAATAATCCATTTCAAATGCAGTTTTAATTCTAACACTAAATAATCTTTAAGTTTTCACATACATCTTATAATGTAACTTATTTCCCATTACCATCCATTTGGCCAAGACAAAGTTATACAATTGCAAATGAAAAGCAAAACTTCARCWGCTKCAATATTAAATGCAGTTCTTCATGKCTCCTGAATAATTTGAGTAGTTGATCTAATCTGAATTTTAATGATGACTGTACTAAGAAATTTTTAACCTTATCCTTATTTCATTCTTAAATCCAGGCACACTAGATATTATGTTTTCATTTCTTTATTAAACTGGAATCCACCAAGGCTGTGAAGGTGTTCCTGACTTGCGGATTTGCTATTTTTGCTGACGAGTCAGGATACTCATTGCTTCACTCATTGCTTTACTCATTGCTTTACTCATTGCTTTACTCATTGCTTTACTCATTACTTTTCATTACTCAGTAAGTTTGTGCAGACGTTTTCAAAAACAGAGAGAAACAGGAGAAAACCTACAGAGACCGTGTGACACAGGCAGCCATCGCCAATGGGCTGGCATTGGACCGCTCCTGGCATGCAGCTGGTTACAAATGTCAGCTGGTGTCACTGGCTGCACCAGAACCTGCCACACACAACCATGTGKGAGCTTCCAGACACAGCTCAGTCCCCTAAAAACCCGAGACAAGGGATAGAATGTGATTAAAAGAAAACACACACTGATTTCTTTCAGAAGCTGAAGTAGGGAACAAGGAAACAGCAACTAATGAAGGTATAGAAGAAAAAAAAAACACCTAATGACAAACAACCCTGTCCCAAGCACTATCAGCAACCTTTGAATTAAGAACAGCTTGTTTCCATTCTGATTCAGTGGAACAGGCATTCATGTGGTAACTATCATTGTAACATCTGAGCAGCCTCTACAAGCACAGTAGCAAACATTACCAGCTCTCTCAAATAAGAGCCCGCACTTTGACTCCCTCCAGCACCGAATCTATTTGCCTTAAGAATTGCAGAAAATGATCCAAGTAGGTTATGGAGACCAGAGACTTCCCGAACCAGATGTTACCAGACTTGCAGAAATGAATTCTACATCTTGTTCTCATTCTCAAGCAGGTTTTGGCCCAGAAGACGATCTTCSTTTGACATCTGACTGTGCTGTTCAAAGGAAAATCCTTGGCATGCACCTGCCCTTCTAGTGCTTCAAGAGGCAAAACAAACATTTCTGAGGTTATTCACAGGCCTCTACAGCACTGAACGTACCAAATCTTCTGCTGTTACTGGTTGTCCTTTCTTGTCATTAGCCACCACCATTTTCCCCAGTCTTTCTTTCATGTCTTGAAGGCTGGTGGTAAGTGCCAGGATGGCCATAATTTCACTTGCAACAGCAATATCAAACTGAGCCTGTAAAGTAGAAATGAGAATCATGAACCAAATCAAAGTCAGATGAAACACTCACAGGGGATCATCAGGAATAAACTCAGGAAAGAGAAATTTCACACTGGAMTTCAAACAAGTTCTAAATGGTAACCTACAGCTTTTGAGATTACTCAGACTAGAATAACTTGTACTTGTACATACAGTGGCCAGAAGGCAGAGATGCAAAAAGGGCCTTGAGGGTCCTGGTGGATGGAAGTTGAACATGAGCCAGCAGTGCCCTGGCAGCCAGGAGGGACAACCCTGTCCTGGGGCATCAGGGACAGCATCGGCAGCCGGGCAAGGGAGGGGATTGTCCCGCTCTGCTCTGGGCTGGGGCGGCCTCACCTCGAGAGCTGGGGACAGCTTTGGGATGCCATGATACAACAAAAACATCAAACTATTGGAAAGCATCCAAAGAAGGGCTACAAAAATGGTGACAGATCTTGGAGAGAAGATGTTTCAGGAGCAGCTGAGGTCACTTGGTCTGTTCAGCCTGGAGAAGAAGAGGCTGAAGGAAAACCTCACTGCAGTTACAGCTTCCTCACAAGGGGAAAAGGAGGGGCAGGCACTGATTTCTTCTCTGTGGTGACAGTGACAGGACATGGGGAAATGGCCTGAAGTTGTGCCAGGGGAGATTTATGTTGGATATCAGAAAAAAAGGATTTTCTCCGAGAGGGTGGCTGGGCACTGGAAAGTGGTCATGGCACCAAGACTGACAGAGTTCAAGAAGGGTTTGGACAATGCTTTCAGGCACACAGTGTGACTCTTGGGGTCTCCTGCACACAGCCAAGAGTCAGACTTGACAGTCCCTTTCAACTCAGAATTTTATAAGATTCTGTGAACTTCAAACACCTTATATTCCCTCATTAATATTCTCCACTGCACTACATTAATTTGAGGACCTGTTGCAGACTGTTTAGCCCCTTGCCTCACATTATTCTTAGAGAAATTCCCTGAAGGACCAAGAATTTTTTTCTGCGGCAGGAACAGAGAATCACCAGATGTCTTTTGAGCTTTACTGGCCTGAGCAAAGGAACACAGCATTGAGGAGRTTTTTTTAATTACTTYTTTTTTCTTCTGTAATGATCTCCAACAGCTTTTTATTCTGGTTTCAAAAACATTCTTGCTAYATTGGATCATTCTTTTTCTACTTAAGCTCAAAATTTAGAGACTATGCTGTTAGCTCTTACGCTTGACCTATGAAAATGTAAAATATATCTCCGCCCCATTTTTTTTCTATATGAACAAATATGTAAGTAAAAAAGCTCCAAGAACTTAATACGTAGCATCMGTTCTATTGTTCTTGTAGAAATGCATCCACACTGCAGCGTTTCAGCACAAYGTAAGCTGAAGTTTTTACTTTTAGAGCTTGCTGTATGGATTAGTAGCACTTGTACTAATTCACCATTAGTAAAGCTCAGGCCTCATGCTGTCAGAACATAAACAGAGAAGAAAAGAAAAACTACTAATGTATTATGTGATAGGAATGCAATGTTGGCAGTGATCAAGAACTGCAATTTCTTTAGTAATCTCTCCATCTCCAGCTATTAAAGTCTACATAAAGTTTAGTAATTGACATCCTACTGCTATCTGTGCAGGGAAAAAGCCCCAGGACTTTTTCTATCAGACCTCTAGCAGMTTTATCCCACAGTAATACCAGAGGAATCTGTTCAGATTGAGAGYTTTGTCTGTTTTTAAGAAGCATCCACACAGAATGTACATCCTGCTACTCTTGTGCATTTGCCTACTACTTTAAGAGCTTCTGCCCTTTTTTAACCCWTGTTCCTGCTTTTAGATTTTGACAGCTACAGCCCAGAGCAGCCTTATTCAGGCTGACCTCTCTGTACTCATGTGTTTATTCAAAACTTCTGAAGTCACCTGAGCACTTTTCTGCTTGGGCACAGGCAAGGAGACATACAACCACCAACAAGAAAAATAATTTTGTAACTGAGATTTTCAGCATAGGGATTCAAGAGAAATGCTGAAACTACARAACAGATTTTCTGTATTCTTTAGAAGCAGTTCTATGTGCAATGAACTTCATTAACGCGATGACATGGATACCACTATCTTTTCTGAATTTGAGAAAGTCCTCAGTAAGTCATTGCAGTGTATGTAAAACAAGAAATAAGCCTGAGAAATCTATGTTCAATGGTGAAGTATTTCTGATTTATCAGAATGTTTATTTGAAGACTCACAAAAAAAGTTTTTATTATCATTGTTTCTATATAAAACCAAAAGGATGGGAAAAAAGGATCCCAGGTCAATGCTCGAAGAGTGACATAAAATTTAATTGAAAAAACAGGCACAAAAGATTGTGGTAGCAGGTGCTATTTTAACTCTAATAACCTTTATACACCTATGAAGTGCTGACAGAAGCCTTAGCTGTAAAGTCAGTTTTCTATTGATGAAAGGATCCACCCACATGGATTCAATTGCAGGATCAAGGGCATCAGTCATGTAATACTCTTTAGAAACCACATCATCCCTGTTCATTAAAATGCAGACTTTTGTGCCTGCTGTGCTCTGCCATTTTACACAGGTGTCACTGATTTTAGGAGTGCTAGAACATCACTCCAAATATTTATAAAATGCATCTGTTAACTATGAAGTCCTGTTTTCTCTGGATCTCTGGCTAGGCTGTGAAATGAGTTTTCCTAACTGCTAACTCWATTTCTTAAGTCACTAACTCCATGTTAAAATGTGAATGGATATGGACGTCAATATTGAAAGCATTAATTTTAACTGAGAAAGTACAGAAGCAACATATTGTTTGACAGCCATATTGTCAACTAGCACTCTGTAATAAAATAACCTGCATTTGACTCAGCAGTACAATTACAGTGGTAAAACACCACACAGTAAGGCTGCAGAACCTGGCTTAAAACTAATAATTGCATTGAAACAAATTTAAACATACGAGAAGGTCTCAAGTGTTGAAGGAATTCATACCAAGTATAATATTTTGTAGTCCCAGCCCATTATCAGAAATGACTATTAGCTAATATTGAATTTCCTGTAAGCTGCAGAGAGAAAAAGTTTCTATTCTGTGCGTTCAAAACCAAAACAAGCGAGCATTTCTGCTGGAAGGTGTCCCTGCTTAGGGCAGAGGGGTTTGAACTAGACAATCTTTAAGGTCCCTTCCAATCCAAACCATTCTAGGATTTTATGATTTCTCTTTGAAATTCTCCTCTCCAATCTGAATGCTTTACCTGCTGAATTGAACAAAAATACAGCACCATGTTTTGGTCTCTTTATTTAGGCAGAAGACCTAGAAGAGGTCTGAAATGTAACACAAAAATTAAAGCTAGGATTTCCAAAATGTGTGAAAGCCTCATCTTTAACACAWGAGCTGTTCACATCAAAATAGTCARAACCTCRTGAATTTCATGATCCAGAATGTTAGATTACAAGATCTTTATCAAATCAGGAGCAACTCCACATCATCACAACGAATTTTGTTCCTCCTGATGCTGCTGCTTCACGCTGCATTGTTTCATTAATTGATTTACCTACATTACACCAGGAATACTTGTTCAGGTGGTGTTGAAAAATTCTGGCTTTCAATTTACCAGTAAATTCTCTCCTAAACTTCCAGAATCTTCCATATAGTGATTCAGGTTAGCTTTTCACACCATTGAAAAGTATGCACACACTTTTTTGCTGAATTATCCCTTCAAGCCTACATAGTAAAAGCCAAGCACATGCTCAAAGTTCTTACAGCTCATATCCCAAAGCTGAGATGCATAAGAGAGAAATGAAAACTCTGAATAAAAAGCTTAATTTTAGCAGATTTTAACATGAAATTGAAATGCATTTTGAATTACATATATCCAACATTAATGGTTACAGAGATTTAAAAAAAAATTAAGAAAAATCATACTAACTAACTTTATGAGGGCACAAAGGCATCTTGTCACAGGATGATGTTAAACCCCTGATAGATGTAATTTTTAAGTGCTTTCAGCAYATTTTGGAATATGCCCTGGTTTATGTTTCTGAAACTTCAGATTCAGTTACTCATTAACACAATCAGTTTCACTACAAGATTACTACACTATACTATATTTCACTACAATATTACTATATTGATTATTACAAACATCAACATTGCAATCCAAAGTATGCTGAAAGAACTGCATAAAATCCCTCAGCCCCTAAAGCAAAGCCTGCCCAGAGCATGATCCATTGACTGCCTTTACATACCTGACGGACCAGTCCTTTCTCCGTATTCGCCTGCCCCACTGTTATTTTGCGCAGGAATCTGTCRTTTGTATCCACCACTGGAATAAGGGAACAGCAAAAGCAAAACATGTCAACAAGGAYTCAGGAATAGGGGTTTTTTCAGACATATCTGTTGTTACATATATAAGGCTCGACTGTTCCAACAGTGCAACCAYAGAGCCACACTTCTGCCTTTAGCACTGGCACTGACTTGGTTGTTCCCTTCTGGTTGATACYATTTGATGACAGGTGGAAACAACTCAAATAGAGTTTATTTGAACAGSATTTGAAGCTAACAGATTCTTAGTATTTTAACATAGGACTTAGTATTTTACCTACATGAGAAAAATCAGTCTTAGTAGATACAAAGTACCAGATCTACTTCAAATCATCTGCTTCATCACTGACTTGTTAAGAATTGATTTTAAGACTGGGTGATGTTGGTTAGATTTGGTCAGTTCCCCTTTTAAAGGATGATCATGCTGTCAGATTGGTTCTTCCAGGCAAGTATCTTTCACACACATCACAGTAACCAACTCCACATTCAGCTGCACAGCATTCAAAGGAAGGCTGGTTTGTTTTTTCCAACTGTCTCCATAAACCAGCTGCTATTTAACATAACTTCAATTTCTTGTATTGGCAATTGTATTCCTGTTATGCACCTGTGTTAATGAAAACAGGCTGAGAGAGTTGGGGCTGTTCAGCCTAGAGAAGAGAAGAGTCCAGGGAGACCTTATAGCACCTTCCAGTACATAAAGGGTCCAGAGAGGGACTCTTTCCAAGGGTATAGAGTGATAGGAAAAGGGGGCATGTCAATCCCCACAGAATGCAAAAACAGACTCTCTCTTTCTAAAGGCTCTGTAGTCCTAAAAATGTTTAAGTTTGCATCAACCCTAAAATAAAGAGTGCAAGGCACTCTTGGTAAGTTCAGCCTGGAGTTTGACAATGAACTCAATCTTCTGGTAGATTTGAGTCCTGCTAATTTATAAGCAGAGAATCCAAGAACCTCCAGAGAAGTTGTCTGTACTCAAGGTCAGTGAAATCAGCTTCTTCCACTTTTCCTGCTGCTTTTGGAGATTAACAAAACTGTCTGTACAGAAAAGGATGACATAATCACCCAAGAACAAGAGGGACTTTGAATCTCAATCTTACACAACCTCAATTCAAGGTTGTGAGCGAGCTGGAAAAAAAACAAGTTTTAAGTCACTTCCCCTTTCTTGGGCATTTCTCCTGGGGCTGTTGTAAATACCACACATACCTTTTCCCTCTACACAGTCTTTAGGCCCCTAATTTCTTCAGGAATTCCATTTAAGGAATGGTGCAACACGGATTTGGCTAACTCATTTTGGTTTCTATATATACACAGTCATTCTCTAAAACACTGTGCTCCTGGCAGCAATTGCAGAGCAGAGCCCGGTACCAGGAAGCCGTGGCCTCACCCCAAGCTGTGGTCCCATATGGCACTATGAAGCCATATGGCAAGCTGTTCTCCCCAGCACAAACTCCTCCCTTCTCTTCCTTGGAAGCTCAGTCTCAACAGTCAGGCTTAAGCAGATCTAAATGTCTTTCCTGTCCACTCAGGCACTCTTGAGGGCAGGAAAAAGCCTTCCCACCAGCCTGGACAGCCAGTGAGCTGCTTTTTCGTCTGGTGAAAGCATGCAACCTAAACACCCTTACCATGAAATTTTAAGTACCCCTGAAACTCCTGGTCACTGAGATACACATACTTTTTCACTGTGGTCACTCATTCTCCAAMAAGATTCTAACAGCTGCAATAAGTAGTAATAAAATAAAAAATAACTCGTCCTGCCACAAAGCAAATTTTTCTTTCGCCAAATTTTCCCTCTCCCTTTACCCAAAGTAAACTTTTCACCAACGTTCAGGCTCAAACAAGTGTTAGATTTAATGTATCCGCTTTCTTATSCTCTAGAGATGCACACAGAATCTGAATACTAAGAAGGGAAGACTAAGAAGGGAAAAGCTTTCCCACTTTTCAGTATACTATACGTTTTCAAGTTAGTGTAAGCTGACAAAGAACTGAAAGTCTGTGATACTTCTACAGAAACAGGTCCTCACAAAAATTAATTTTCAGAAAATCTGATRGCTTAACTCTTCTTCCCTAAAAATTCCCTGGTATGTAACAAGCTTCATAGACATATGSACTGCAGAAACAGTCCTAAATAAAACATTCTCCAAGTTATCTAAAACATTCCTAAACCAAATTTTTTTCTGCAATGTTTAAGGTTTGTACATCATATAGAGCTGTGTGGAATAGAAATTTCACTAACATTGTTTGAGATTAATTAAATAACTCACTTGAGGTTAACAGCTGTTGAGCAATGTTGCCYCCTCCCAAACCCATGCTGATAAAAACGAGGAGTCATATTACACAAAACATTTATATTACYTCTTCATCCTAACACAGGTCTCTTCCAGACACACTGTGTGACTAATAAAAAACATCTTATGCCACATCCCCAGAATTATCTTGAGAAAAACATTCCCAAGTCTGAGATGACATGCACACAGTAAAGCCTGGCCAAGACTCTTCCCTCCTCAATAGATTCACCTTTTTTTTTTCTAACCATCACTGTACATTCCATTTAACAGTGATAACTTAGTGTTTGAGAATTAAGAAAGAAAATAAAATCCAGTGGTATTTAGATCAAAACTTTATGCAGAGTTTACCTTCCTAAAGAAGAAAACTGTATAGAAATTGAGGTAAACAATGGAATCTGACCCAGTACTAGAACTGGGAAAAGCAGTGGGGAGCTGTCTAAGGGTATCAGAGTGGATATCAGTTTGCTTGGCAACAGTAYCACATCTTTCACGTCTTTTTCCTAATGAAGAAAACAACTCAAGAGAGTCCAAAAATCAGAAAAACACATAATCCCTTAAGCCTATTGAGTCTCTTGGGCTACCCAGGCTTCTGAGCTTAGGAGAATGAGGGACCAAAATCAAGAAGAATAAATACAAATAATCTTGAACCATAATAGAYAAAGTTAAGAAAAGAATGTCTGAGATTTCCAAAATGCATAGAAAAGACAATTCATATGTCTGGAGAAGTATTATCTAATGTGAGAAAGACCAGGATGTATTTAAACTATCAAAGAAACCTATCTTTCAGAATTTTAGCRAAGTCTCCTGAGTTATTGCAGCTATTTGACCAAGTTTAGAGCAATGGGCTGCACCTGCATTTGTTACGCRCCCACACTTGCAAATTGTCAATTCTTACAGTCAGAGCAGAAACAGCTCTGATTCAGGTAAAATTAAGCAAATTAGGAAACAAGTTATGATGAAATCCAAGGTGAAGTGAGGCTTTCTGACTACATACCCCTTTGCCATGTTATGGTTGATGGGTCAATGTCAAGGCGCACAAATTTGCTGATCTCCTCTTCTGTCAAAGTCTCAGGATCAGTCTTGCWTATTCCCAGTCTCTACACACAAAACAAGTTCAAGAACTGCAATGAAATAGCTTATTTGTTTCAAATGGTGTAGCTACTCTGGCTTTTCAACCCCACACATGTTAAGAGGGGACTTTCAATCTTAGTAACACTCTTTTGAGAAAAATGTAACCTGATGCCATAACGATTTCTTTACAATTGACATTGTTTAGATATAAGGAATCATTATACTGAGAATAATTCACAGCAAAGTAATTCAATTATATTGGAAATTATGAATCATTTATTTGAATATTATAAAGCCAAACTTTCTTTACTCAGTTGTAGGTCTCAGTTGTGAAGAGAGACTCAGTTGTAGGTCTCAGTTGTGAAGAGAAAAATCCATTTTAAATATACAGATAGCTGGTATGTCAGGAATAAAGCAAACACTCCCCCTCTTTCCCTAACTTGTTATCTGTAACAGTGTAAACAAGAACAAAATGAAAATACTTGAAAATTCTGATAGAACAATCTCTGAGATTGCCTCAGAGTCAAGCAGGATCACCCCCATTTTAGTTCACTGACATTCAAAGGAGCAGCACAAAAGCTTAAAAYGTTATGAGAATTCTTTTTCCCCCCAAAACAGAAGCTGGCACTACCTCTGTCCTTCTTTCCACCCCCGAATTCCAACTGTGCACATTGCCATCCAATGACTGAAACATCACCAGTCAGGATTCATATGCCAACAACAAACATGGAACTGGTCACAGAAGAACAGGAGCTGTCCTTAAGGGTCCTATTCAAGGGCCTCATGTTCTCTTTCTCCTACACTAGTGGACTCTGTTCCTCTCTAGGTACCTATGAGAATGGCAGTCTCAAATCCAGATATGATATTCATACATGAACTGCACAGGAAGCTCTTCTGGAAGCATTCAGCAAGAAAGATGGGATGCAAAAATATCCTGTGCATTCAAATGTACCCCTTGAAGGAAGAACACTGTCAAACTGACATCCATAAAACCCCAAGAAGTATACGCTATATTAAATTTTCAAAATCAGAATATATTGCAAAACCAAAGAATGTGAGCTTTCAAATGTGACTATACCATAATTGGAAAAGTATTTTAAAAACCTCTAACTTTAATATTTCATCAGAAAAGATGCAGCATTTAAAAACATTACTGGTTTATTTCAGGAGAAAAGAATAGCAAAAATGTTAGCTATAAAAATAATAACATACCCAGATCCTATTACTCCAAGGATGATGCTTTCAGACAAGTCTAGGCTTGATATATTCATGAGGGTTTATACAAAGTCAGTCCCATACATCAAATAATTTTAAACCACTTGTGTAAGAGAATACATTTCTGAAGAGACACTATAATTGWGGAGAGACTGAATTAACAACTTACTCTCAGGCGGGCAAGCTGAATAGCAGAAAATCCTCTCACACCATTAACTACTGGAACCAGCCTATTATACAAAGACTAGAAAAACACAMAAGAAGTTGAAAGAAAAGGTCATAAAAAGCTAATGCTTTTTTAATTTGTTCCATCTAATTTCAGTAAGAATTTCCTGACCACATAAATTGTGTACTTCTGGTTAAATTTAAAAATTCTGAGAAGGTGGCAGGCTTCCGAGCCATACCTATGATTCAACAGTCTAAAATCCAATTGCCACAAATTACTCAGTTTCACAAAAAAAAAAAAATTTGAAACCAGAAACCTTTTAAAACTTTAACCAAGGTCCAAAGTATTTAAACTATGATTACAATTTCCAAACTGGCCTAAATGTACACATGTATTGTACCAAGCATACCAAGCAAAGGGGATATGACAACTCTGCTCAGTCTTAACTGCAGACAGAAAGAAGAGGCTCCTTCTATTATCTTCTCCCTTCCCTTTAAAGACCCAGGTTAAGATTTTTAAGGTCACAACATATTTAGCAGAGGGACAAGCATCTAGTTTATTTTCCCCATAACTGCTTCTTCTTCAGGTACATCATACCCAACTACACAGYAGAAAAACAACCTGTAACTTCAAAGTGAGTCCACAAATTATTGCAAAGAATAAGATTATACATAGGGAAAACATGTTTTATTACACCATTTAGTACAGTTTGAAATAGTTGACAATGTTCTGGGCATAGGATTCTTATCTTAAAGACTACCTTATGGTAATTATTTGCTAGATAAATATATTGTATAAGGAAAATTTTCTAGCCGAACACAGAATGGCTTCAGCAACAGTTACTGTTCACATGGTGAAAATATAAAACTATAAACAATGTGTTTTTCTCTGAAATGCCWTTTGTTGAAAAACTGAGAAGAAAAATTATCATCTGGATAGGATAAAATAATTCTCACCTTATCAGATTGAGTATTCTCATGCAAGATCCTGGCATCAATAGCAGCHGCCAGCAAATTATTTGCAGCAGTTATAGCATGAATATCTCCAGTCAAATGAAGATTGAACTAGAAGGGGGAAACAACAAGATCTTTTTRTAACAAAATATTTAATTCAATCATTAAGATGAATTAGCAGCAGCAGTCATTATCTCCTTGAGACTGCAGCTCTGATTAGTCAGCTATCAGTGTAGGCCAAAGACTTCCAGGTGGAAATACACTGAGCCATATGAAGAACTTGTTTTCATTGAGTACATGGTAAACTGCTCTAAGTTTAGCCAAAGTAAGAACATCTTCATTCTTTGCTTAATGATTCAAGAATAAGAAGCCAAGGGCTACAGTTCCGCATCATTAATACTGAATTAGTTTAATGGCAGTAATTATAAACTGAGCCTGCCCCAGAGCACACCATGCCTGCAGCTTTGTGCAGTGCCAGCTTTCTGTTAGCTGCAGGAAAATAGCCCCTGACCTCACAGGCATGAACTTTGCTGATACAAAGTTTGATAAACAGTTTTGTGAAAATTCTGAAATGAGCATCTCAGAATAAATTATRTTTCATAGGTACTGTATTTTTTATGTGTCTGACAGATGGAAGGTCAGTTTTAATGGCACTTCAGGGCTGCTTGGACCAGCTGTGCATGGTCAAGGTGGTCTTCACCGTTCTGGCCATAAGAGACATTTTGCTGAGCTCTAAATTAGTCTCTCTTGGGGTGAAATTGTCACRCATTTCCAAACAAGCACTGTGAATATCATAGAATCATTATGGTTGGAAAAGATCTCAAAGATCATCAAGTCCAATGTTTGGATGAATACCATCAGGCCCATTAAACACACCACAGACTGCAAGCTGAGGCTGTCTCACCTCCTCCATGGGGATCACTTGAGCGTATCCACCCCCAGCTGCTCCACCTGCACAGGGAAGCACAATGTCACATCAGAGTCTCATCAGCTTTGGAAAAAAACAACTATCCTTAACACACAAAGTGAAACAAACAGCAACGAGGACACATTTTCGTYGTTTTAATTTCTATTAGAAGATCAGTGATGAACCCAAAACATGATTTCCTTAATCTTGCTGGCTTTTTTTTTTATTAGATGGTAGTAGAAAAGGAATTATTGATCTGAAATCAAAGACTACACATGATGGATGAGGTTCTGGCTATGTAATGTTCTGCTCCTGCCCAGATTTAGGACACAGTCATGCACATGCAGCTGCTGGGTGGAAAGACATAGCAGTCACAAGCAAGCACTGCTTCTGAATGAAACTTTCACACCCTTGCTTGAGCACTCCTTCCCCACTACATCTCATGGTACAGACAAAGAAATTTGCTGCTGCCTATGCACAGGTCGAGTGGAGGGATTAAAGCACTCACACGCACCAGTCTTAGCTGAGAAGCACCAAGCACCAGGAGCCTTCCAGCTGAAACCAAACTTGTTAACTTAAACTTCAGCAAAGCAAAGCAGGGCGGATGGGGAGTGCTTGCCCAGCTAGGCACCAATTTCAGCTGAGAAATGGCAAAAAAAAAGATTGCATTACTTCCTATCAGCATTGAAGACGGGCTTGAAATCTGGCTGGGTCTTACCTGGCCCTCAGGCTCTTATAGGGTTTCTAGGCAAAAAGGCAGCAGCCCACGGTTAGAGGCGACAGCTCAGGAGAACAGAGAGAAGAKGTTCAGACCTGGCCAAATGTATGCTGCTGCACAGCTGAACCACAACTGCTAAATTCCTTGTATTGCTTGGAAACATCCAATGTGGACTCTTTCTCAAGGAATAATTAAACAGTAACATTTAGAAACACATTTAAAGAGTCTCCAGGTAGAGGGGTTGGCTGGAAGGGTGTGTACTCACACAACATTCTTCCTGGATAATACATCCCTCTGCCTTTCTTTATGTTTAGGCTTTATCTGCATAATCAATACACGCTAAGTGCGTGAACATAGCTATGAGCCTTGCACAGAAAGTGTGTGCAAGAAATSGTAATCTGTGAGTTRGTTATGYATAAAAATCAAATATGCTACCCTCRGACAATCCACTGAACGAAGTAATTCAGAAATTAAAAGAGAAGAAACGAAACTAAAAAAGCAACAAAGCAGTATTTCTTAATATGGAAGAGGTCATAGGTTCTTCAAATACTATGTACCTTTAACTCCAAAAGTAGGTCCTTGAGAAGGTTGTCTCAGACAAGCAAAGGAATTAATGTTAAGGTGTGCAGTGAGCGCCTGAACAAGACCAATTGTGACCGTGCTTTTCCCCTCTCCTAGGGGCGTAGGGGTTATTCTAGCAAAACAAGAAAAAAGATTAATCAAATTCTTTGCTGATGTCAGCCTGGCTAAGGATATCAGAACKTAGAGCTTTTGATTTCAATGAAGAATATTTGTACAGCAAATTTCAATAAGATTACTTTATCTTCAGAAAAATACTGCCACAATGTTAGCCTCTAGCTCAAGCTGGAATGCTAATATACATGTGTCTTCTATTTAAGCAATTTACTATGATAGCAGAAAGAGAAAAGATTATTTTGGCAAAAGTTCTAAAAAGAATATATTGAATTTAGACATTTTTATTACAGCACAAAAGTCTCACCAGTTTCATTARCAAACCATCCATCATGATACTCTAAGCATATATTAATATTTTTCTGTAGTAATGCATGAGATCTTTTACTCCCATTGCTCAAACTTTGAATGAAATAATAGAATATCTTAAGTTAAATAACCAACACTTTTGTTTCTAGTACTCAACTATCCCTTTCCAGATTCCACGTCATCATAACCCCAAAAATGACAGATCAATGGCTTTTCAAATAAAACAGGACACAAAATTCTCTATATTCAATTGGACATGATTTATTGTACRATTTTGTTTTGGAAATTGAAGGGCAATAAGGGACAATGAAGATCACTGTCCATACAAAAGTTTAAAAGCCTCATGCTACAGCTCCCATACCTAGACCATGACCGAAACAGGACAGCATTTTAGAAAGACCTCCARTCTCAAATCAAAGATCAGATCTCCACTCTATTCTTGTCCCTAGAGGGGACTCTATTCTTGCCCTTTTAATGAAGGGACAATGGCAGCTGATTTTGCAAGTGGAAAACTTCATCAGCCTTCAATGAATGAGAGACACCTCAGTTTAATGATCTTCTCTCTGCTCTCAACATCAGCACATTTGTTTATGATCCATGTTAAAAGTGGTGGTGGAGGGGGAGCTAGGCTTTTTCTTTTCTTTCCATTTTTCTTTCTTGAAGTATGAACACATCTCATGCCTCCAAACTGCACTCAAATGATTCATTTGAGGCCCAGCATTTCTTTTTCTGACTGGCAAAAGAAGAAAGCCACAGTCTTTTTCCCACTCACACCACTCTCACACAAATCCTCCTTTTTGGCAAAGTGTAACCATTCGGATCTTTGTTGTCTTTTCTACCTGCAGAAAAGWACTTTAGTGAAGCTGATGTAAGAACTAATGTTCATTCCCAAGGAAATACAAGCATGCACATRGATCCTAGTCAAAGGGAAACCCTTATCCTGTGACCTTTTCAAAACTTGAACTGAAACATCTAGCTCTAATTAAAAACACTTCCTTCCCCAACTAGTAAGTTTTCCAATATATTGCTATTCTCAGATCACAATTCAAATGGCATAAAACCATCAGTATAATTGTAAGATTCAGCTTAGTTCAGTCAGTTCACAGATTGGCAAAAGCCTTTTTGTCCCAAAAAAGAAAATAGATGAAAAACATTAACTTTGCACAAATCTACCTTTTACAGCATCATCAGATCCTGGGCTTTTGCTTTAAAAAGATGCCTTGGATRGATACGTCTGGAAAAATTTGGGTAATAGGACGCAAGCCAAATTAACATCTTTATATTGTTCTAGGAAAAAAAAATCCAATTCAGTAAAGTAATCTTCTAACTAAAGTTTCAATGAAATCGAAGGGGTTAAGCACATCTATAAGAGATTCCCTGAATTCTTCACTTTGAACTACTCTTATATGGCCATGGATCACTTATTTGGGGCACTKGGTTTTTTAGTAATTTTCTCCCACATTTTATAACACTGTGTTCAACAACCATCATATTCTAAAACACCATCAGTAACTTACTATTCAGAATATTCCATTATCCTAGAAAGGCACTTCTTTGACTTAAAAAGGAATTCACAGAATTCTAGCAAAATACCCATACAGAACCAAAAAAAGGTGGGAGATTCAGAGCATATCCTTTATCTACTCTCAAAAACAGTTTTCATCCCTGATATTTTTTTTATTCATCCTAGGCCACCTTATTTCCTTCTGATCTACTGCAGGAGCACAGAACACTACCTCATTTCTTTTGCTTTCCTGCAGTTCCAGGAAGAAAGGATCCTTTTAGTTTCTACATTGTCAGGACTGGGAGCCCTCAGGGTTTTACTGTTGCCACAAGGAGATTCCCTTTTTCCCACCACTCTTTTTTCTCATATCCTTTTCGTCCTGTGATGCTTACTTTTGTACAAATATGTTTCTTTCAGAGCACCACAGCCAGGTTAACTCACTTTTACCACCAGTTTTCTGACTAATGTTCTAACACTGGTTTCCCAAAACTCAGTCTAGTAACTCTTAGCATGAATTCTCCTCACCCCTTGTTCTCCTACTATCTCATTCACTTTTTTCYATTGTCCTAATCTCATTTACTTGATCCTCTTATTCCTGTGCATTAAAGCCAGATTTAAGGAATATATGAGTAATCCTGAGGYATTACTGCATTCAAAGGCTTAACACAGTAACAGCTCTTGAAGCTATCAATTATTTAAAAATAACAACAAAACTAAAAAAAGAAAAAAAGCAACAGTAACAAAACACCAAAAAGAAAATATTCCACTATGAAAGAGACACCTATAACTGTCTACTGGAAGGTACCAGTCAAGAACTTTCCACAGCCCCCTAAAACTTGGTGCACACAAKGGTGCACTACTAACAGAACAATTTGCATTTGCAGTGCATCCTGTTGGTGGCTACCTCTATTTGTGAGCATCAGACAAATGAAGCTCACGTTCAAGAGAAGTCACAGACACCACCCCTAGTTATTTACTCRGTTCAGCTCAAAACCTGGCAGGTGGCTGATCTGCCATGCACAGCAACACAGGGACTCTTTACAACCCTTATGAAACCAGCAGAAYCAAAGATGCAGCCTCTTACCCAGCAAATGAAAGGAAATTGGAACTGACAAATGCATAACCAGAAGGYATCTTGTTAGCATGAAGAAAAGTATCTACTTGTCACAGAAGACAAGACACAATCAAGTGTAATATTGCTAAAATGTTCTGGTAACTCAACAGGCCTGCTCCAAAATGACTGTGTAAAATGAACCAGAAAGCACTGGGAGTTTTCTGTGGGACAGAGATTTCTCCAGAAGCAAAAAGAGAAACACACCACTGCTCAYTGATTAAACTGGCAGGAAGCCTCAAGAGCTAAACAGTTATTTATTCTTTTCAGCAGCTACCAAAATCTCAGCTTTAAACATTGGTTAAAAGAAAAAGAACAACATTCATTTCACTGTAATGAAAATTCTATTCCAATAATTTCCTTTTGAAAGCTTATTTAAAGTATCTTAGCTTTTGTACCTGCTCTACTTTGATTGGGTTTTATAAATGAAATAATCCACTTAAGCTGTTTTGTGGACATCGAGCTGTTTTTGCTGGCTACACTACTAAGCCTACACTCTCAATAGCTTAGGTCACTTGCTCACATGGGTATAAAATTACAACTGCCAATGGCTAACTTTAGCTCAACTGTGCAATGCCATGTTTTAACCTTATGCAAATTGAGGGAAAACCTCCTTTAAAATGCAATACATTTTAATGAACTTCAGGAAACTTTTACAGGCATTTGCATTATTCTTCAAATTTAGTTTCTTTAGTATGTTTTCAATGAAAACACAGAAACCCCACAATCATTTTCTGCCTTAAAACTTACTTTGCCACCTACCAAGCAGTCATCAGCTCCTTGGCAAAGCAAGTTTTCCATAACATTGGAAAGCCTTCTCTCTTTATGTATATCCAAAAAAGATAAGAATATGCAGACTTTCTGTTTGTTTGTTATACATCACATTAGCTTACAGCAGAGCTGTTTCTGTGGGAAAGCTACATGAGGTCTCCCAAAGAGAAAATAAACAAACAGGGAGATGATACAGCGCACCATCTGTAACCTCCTCACAGCTACGCCAGCCRCAGTGACTCCAGCAAGAACTTCACTGGATATGTGACAATTCTCTTTCAAATTTCCTACCTTCAGCTCACAGATATCAGCAGATTTAAAGATTTTAGTGAGTTCATAATTCCTGTGATCCACGTGGAAGCCTGCAAAGCCGGGCTATGGAGGCCATGGGTAATTGATCTCCCACCTACATCCATCTCCCATCCCAGATTACAATTGTCAGAAATGTATTTCYGAGCCCAGAAGTGTTGCAACTGCTGTCACCTTATCGAGATGAGGTTATGACAGTGTTGCCATGGCATCCTTTGGGAGATTCCAAATACAAAAGCACAGAGACCACTATGAAGGTAAAATAACTGAAAAAAAGACAAAAACAGAGGAATTCTCCACTACAAACTCTCAAAATCTACTCTGGGCTCATACAAGACAATCCCAGTCAGGAACAGTGCAACCACATGACCAATACATGACAAACTGTCTCAACTATGACTCTACTTGGGACTGTCAGACAATTCAGGGCATCAACACAGGGGTATTTCCCCCTCTTGTTCTTCCCTGAATCTTTCTTCTAATTTTTGTTTTCCTTTTGCTTAGCTTTTAAGCACATTGCAGCCAGAGACACAGTGAAAAGAAACACAATCCAAYACATACCTATTAGAAGAAAAATGCAATTACAAATCTGCAATTTCTATCCCCCAAATGTTTACCATCACWTAAGGATTACATTACTATTTTATTTACCAAAAAGGTAGTTCATCACAGAATAATCGATTAATGTTAGGAGAAAAGTAGTTTTTAAATTTTCCAGCATTTAAAATTCAACACACTTCTTACTAAAAGCACCATTATATCTCATAATATTCCACTTTTAATTCTTCCTCATCTTGCATTTTTGAAGCGAACAAGTTTCCAGAATTATCTGCTAAAAGCCACAGCACTGGAGCATTTAGAAACAAGATGTAGACACATACAAACACACAAACACACACACACACAGATTCTCACAAACTTGAGCTGTAATTTCATACTGTGTTTGTGAATACGCCATCTACATGCTTGAATGCAAGATTAAGTTACCCTGGACACTAAACTTAGCTCCTAGGTCATGCACAAGCTGCATTCATTTGCATGCTCTCAGCTGGCAATGAGTGGAGGCAGTTTTGAGTTAACCTATCCTGAAAAGAATTGTTTAGCACACAAAAAGCCTGTTTACAGGCAGCTGATGCTCAAGAACCTATTACTCCATGATAACTTGTGGCTCTGCCCCCACAGAGTCTTAACACGAGAGCCCTACAGCAAGCCAAACACAAAATAAAACAGCAAGAATTAAAAAAAAAAAAAGGAGAAAGAAAAGATTGGTCTCCATACAGAAGAAAATAGAAGTTATGAAGAAATAAAGTCTTCATTCTATTTTTGGGCATCATGATCCATTAATGAAACAGCAATATTTCAGCATACAAAGTTTATATAGCAGGAAACACTTAGGCATATTTGTTTGCATTTAGAAAGAAGAAAAAAGACTTTGCAGCTAGCAGCTTTTTAAAGAGCCGTAAATGCAACTATCCTTAGAGATAAAAAGGCACATTTTAGTTGCATTTTGCTGTTCAGAACAAGAAGTTTGGTTTTCAGCACATCAGGAATAAAGCAGACATGCATTTGCAGCAAATACCTATAAATTKCTTGACACTGTGAAACATTTAGACCTGAATATGCATTTAGAGGCACAAATATTGCTGGCTGCATCACGGATGGAGGTTGGAGATCTTGCAGATTCTTGAATACACGCACACAGAATTTACACTCCTTTCACATTCGAGAAGTTCCCATCATATATAATAAATATTTCCACCAGACCCTTAAGTACCAGCATATATCTTAAATGCTTCTTYGAAGCACTGAAAATTTATTCTGAAGACCTATACTGCCTCATTCTAAAATGATTTTTAAATATCTTTGGTTATTGTAAACAAACATAATAATCCAAATGGCAGGTTCAGTTTGACCTTGCYTTGGCAGGGAGAGAATGAAGGCAAATGAGGATACTATTTCACTCCCCARTTTCCACACTTTAGTGATACTCWATTTTCATTGTACTGAACATTTCCCCATCAGACAGAGTTCCCTGTTTTTCYTAAAATCATTGTCATCTGCTACAGCCATTTCAGCAAATGAGAGCAGCTGAGAGAATATAAACACACATTATATGTATATTTTATATGTACAATATTTCAAAGTCAAGCTCTAAACTCCCTCAGAAGAGAATGTTCCCACCAGTGTAGTGACCTTGCCCAGGCACTTCTGCAGATGTGGCTTTGCACTAACCCCACAAGATGCAATGACTTCAGASATGTTACAAATAGCAACACATTGCATCATCAGGTTGGGTAGGCACCAAACCCAGCCCTTTTGTCTCTGAAACACCATTGTGTATTTGTACATTTAATGTAAACTTGAGAGAGGATACAATATTCTACTTTTTGCCAGTTTTTCATCGTGCTGATCAAAACTGCATTCATTCCACCTTTCTCCCACACTGCTTTCTGTGACAATTCCTTGAGACATCTTTGAAGGAGAAAGAGAGACAAAGCAGCATGAAGAAATGTAAGCAGTGTTGTATGCAATTTGACACAACTAAAATCCACCCAAATGGGGCTTTGCAACTTGCTATCTTTGCACCTCGAGATATCTTCAAATAACCTTYTCATCTTGTGAGAGGTTTGTTGTGAGGGAAGCCTGGATCAGCCTGCAGCAAGGTGCCCAATTGATGGTGCTGACAATACAAGCATGAAAATACATGGCAGCAACTTTCTTCAAGCTCAGCGAAATACCAAACCTGTTTTTGTTTCTCCAATGCCGCAAAAAGACCCAAACCAAAMCAAAACTCTACCAAAGGAAACCAAACTCAATCAGCTATTATTTCTTTCTCTTAACTGCTCCAGCATCCTCCAAGAATATCTTTAAAACTGGACTTCTTCAAAGCATTGCTTTGAAGAGAGCTTCATAACTTGCCTGCCTCAGCTTTGTAACATCAAATCTCTCAGTCTACAACTGCATCTCAGACAGTGTCARAAATCCAGGTTGTTCCCATGGGAAGGCAGTAAAGCAAACAGTTCGAGAAATGCTTGAAAGGTAAGGAATCAGTAGATCAAGGCAGTCAACAACAACCTTCTTCTGGACCAGTCTAATTTTGTATTTTAAACCTGAATGGGYTTACTTAAAAGGAAGCAACCAATAGATTAACTCAGAATATAAAGAACACACTGCAATTTAAATATTAATGAAAACCTTCACATGTTTGTTCACAAGCAGAAGTTTCCACTTAATAAACCAGGTGAATGAAAAAATTGTGTCACTGAATGGAAGAAAAACTTGAAGCTCTTCAGAAGAGAAGTKCATAATTCCTGCTGAGCACAGCATTTGCTATAATCGTGGGAAAAGCAAGCAGGATAAGCCTGCCTGGAGACATGTCTACATTTCAGAGAAAAAACATGGCTTTTTAAACTTTGTAATCTGCTCTTCAATAAAAAAAGTATTTATTGTTAATATCAACAGATTAGCATGTAGCTTCTGTTAATGTTTGTTTATAAACAGCCACAATACAAGCAGCCTTAAATATCCAAGTTAAACATTTAAAATTCTGATGAAAGTAAGAAAAACTTCATGTACCAACAGCTAACATTTCACAGAATCATAGAAAAAATTACCTTTTATAAAATACACTTTCGTACAGTAACAACCATTTGGGAGAAAAGCTGTATTACTTAAAAAAAAGTTCAAAACCTGCTCACTTCCAGAAAATAGCAACCTACATGAAAAACCTAGATGAAAACATTCAAGATTCTTATTTGTGCAGTGTATAAAAAAGATGTAAGTCACATGTTTATATTAAWAAGAGTGGAAAGAGTGGACATTAATGACATTATAGTGCATTCTTACCCAGCAACTAGAACATATTTTCCATCTGGTTGATCCTTTAACCTTTCCAGCAGRGACAAACGTACTTTGGCTTTGGTTTGGCCATAGATCTCAATTTCATCTGTAAGCAATCCTATCTCCTTGGCAAGTACATCAACAGCTTTTGGACTCTGTGCTCGGGAAATCTCAATATCACTGGAAAAGAAAACAAATAGGAGCCAGGAGATTTCTCTCAGCTTAGGTGGTCGACAACAGAGCACAAAACAACAGCAAATAATCCAACAATGGAGTTATTGTAASGAGTTTTTCAATCCTCTCTCACATTTTATTAACCAAACCTACATATTAACTAACACCTATAACATTGAAAATCACGTACAGTGTTTGTTAATTGTTACAACTGTTCTTCACAGAGAACTCTTGTTTAATCAGATTCCAAATATTACGTAATGCTTTCATATCAAGCTGGAGACGTGTCTGCTGGATGCTCTAGCCTGTCCCATTGGAATGGAAGTTTCTGGTTTTRTTTTTCTTTTTGTTCTCCTCCTTCACAGCATATTTCAGCACATGCACTTTTTACTAAAAAGCGCAGGCATTCCTTGGCTGCCAGTCACACAAACGCACTCGCTGAACCCGAAGCCTTTGCGTGTAGTGCCTTCCACCTGAGAGCAGCGCCAGCTTTGCTACTCCCCCACCACGGCACCAAAGGAAACCAGGCACTTGAAGAGCAACTMATGCACTTCTAAAACACAGCTAAACTAAGAATGGCCACAGAGCACGAGTCTAAAGCACAGRGCTCAGCCAAGACATCCAGGGAGCTTGCTGAACTAGCTCCAGCAAGGGCTGTGAGCAGCCACTGAGGCAAGCGCACAGACAGCCTGTGGTTGTGCTTGTAGTAGGGACACAGTTATATCTACAATTCCTGACCTAGACAACCTGAGGTCTTTGGATTTAATACTTCTTCATGGATTTTTCATTTGTGAGCTTGACCTATTGCCCATTATGTCCACAGAGGTGCTCAGCAGCTGTAAGCTCCTGCGGCAGGGAAGTCCAGGGACTGGCACAGAAGATGTGAAGAGTTGTCTCCTTTGGCTTTGAATTGTTCACATTGCCACAAAAATAACTTAAAAAATTACTTTCAGCCTAACCAGGATAAACTCCCTCCTGTAGTTTCAGTTAATCACAATATTTTTAGGACAGAATCTGGCAATGGCATGAAAGCTCATGTCCTGAACTTTCAAACAGTCTGCAAGGCCTTAAATATCCACTGGAGAACATAAAACTACTGCCAGATCTCAACTCTGYGTGTGGATTTTTGCTGTTCTGCATCCACCAGCAAATGATCAGTCTGCACCAACTTAATTGCTTGCAAATCTTYGAGAAAATCCTAAACTGGGTCCATTATTAATTTGTAGCTCTCAAGTATTCCCCTTTTCACCCTGCAGCAGCTAAGGGAAACCCAGAAACCATCCATCCAAACAATGACATAACCCAGTTCTACAGGTCAAGGAGTCACTCCATCACCGCACTACTAACCTGGAGCCTGCTTTCTTTCAAAGACTTCTAAGTGCACCCTCTTTCACAGAAGGATGTACCTTTGGCTTTCCTATGTCTGACTTCAAACACAACTAGCCATAAAAATGCAACAAGAATATAAGACAGAATGGCTTACAAACATCACATGGCAAAGAGCATCTCAAGATTTCACTCAGAAATTACTACATRAAAACAACTCAAGTACCAGCAAATTTTTGCTAAGTTGATGGCAGTGTGGTCCCTTAAAGATCTAAACAAGAAAAAATTTCAGGGTGACTCTTCTCCGATTAAAGCAATTGGTGCATTTAGCAAGAAGAGAAGGATGTAGACTAATATGAAGAAGTTCATTTGCATTTTTTTCCTCCTATTAAATATATTTTCCTAAAACACGGGAAATTAAAGATTTGGTTATACCTGAAATTTAGAAGCCTGTATTTGCAGTTGACTCTTTTAGTCTGACAATATATTCTCTATACTGGAAATACCACAATTATTCAATACGTTACATTATTCAGTTGCTGGAGATGTGCAACAGTGGTTCTTCTGCATGAACCAAAACTGTTAAGCAAGAGGTCCATCACTGACAATGCTAAGTGATAATTTACAAAATGCAGAAAAATTTAAAAGATGGAGGAAGGCTCTCTATCTACTCACCTGTGTRCTAACATTTTTTTTACTGCATGCTGTAAGAAAATTTTCCATTCTTTTTCCAGTATATTTGGAAATACTTCAACCCAGATCTCACAGAACTCAAAAAGCAGATGTTCTTAGTTTTAGTGCTGAAGCAGCTTTGCCTCATTTTCAATGAAAACTCCATCTGTTTCCACACAACGTGGTGTATTACTGCAAGATTACATTTTATTACAGGATACTTTCCATCTGAAGGATTTCTTTATATTTAAAAGAAAAAAGACAAAGCTGTAGAGTTAGCAGATTACTGCAAGTCCTATTACTAATTATATTATATATATGTTATATATGWTATTTTTTACATATAGATACTATATATATTATGGTGCATATATGTACACAATTATTTATTAATCACATAATTATTTATGTATTAAACACACAATGTCATAAAGAGGGTTGGGAATACTTTTTTTGGAGGTTTTTTTTACCACCACATCCATGACATTGCAAACTTTAACTTTTAATCATATTATTTAAAGAGAGTTTTTTCAGGCTTCAATTCTAGAAATGTTACATGCTAGCCCAGAAAAAGCTCAAGCATTTCTGCCCCCTTGTGCCCCTGGTCACAAGAGAAAACTTCTTTTGGCATCTCTGGTTTAAATTACATTTGTGTCCATTCCCATTAAACTGTTGTAAGAAACAGTGAAAAGTAAATCAAAATGCTTAGAATAGACAACATTTTTCCCAAAAAGACAGCAGTAGGAATCAGGATTACAGAATCACAGCATGGCTGAGGTTGGAAGGGACCTCTGGAAGTCATCTGGTCCAAGCCCCCTGCTCATGCAGGGACATCCAGAGCTGGTTGCCTATGTCCAGGTGGCTTCTGAATATCTCTTAGGATGGACACTCCACAACTACCCTGGACAATCTGGTGCCAACATCTGGTCACCCTCACAGTGAAAAAGTATTTCCTGATGTTCACATGGAGCTTCCTGGGTTTCAATGTGCRCTCACTGCCTATGGCTCTGTCACTGGGCTCCACTGAAAAGAGCCTTGGTCCTCTTTGTATTATTGTACATTTTATTTAGACACAATAATAAGACCCTCCAAAACTTCCTATCCTCCAGGGTAAGCCTGCTGCAGTTCCAGCTGTTTTTCTGACTTTCTTCTGGAGTGAGGTTTCTCCAGCATCTGCAGAAGCAGGTATATGAATAAGCACCGAAAAATGTCAACACTATCCTGACTTTGAGCCACTGGTTCCTCGGTCTGTCACCCAACTCAGCCAACACGTAGCAAAGCACTTCAGCACAGTAAAGAGCTCAGGCTGCTCAAATGTCAGAGATGTCAGCAGGAGTGCCAAGGCAGACCTGAAATCCCTGTGGCCCAGATATGGGCCTTGTGAAGTGAATGACAGGAACTGATTGAAAAGATTCTGGCTATGAGAATAAATATGCTTCCTGCTTTTCACACCCACACAGGAATTTAAAAGTCTAATGCACAAGAAAGTCCCTCGGCTGAGGGAAGAAAATAAACACAAGCTCAAATGGCATTGAAATCCTCAAGCCTTAACCAAACACCTTCCTACATCAGGGTTTAGCCATCAGGAACTTCTCATCTTTTGTATTTCTGTTGATGCTGCACAAGGCTTCGCCTCCCTTCTTCAATGAAACCTTCCAGCTTTAGGTCTTCACTAAATAAAGCCTGGCTCCAATGCGTATCATCAAAGTAAAAACTGACAGCAAACAGAACCACCTGATCACAATGAAGCATGCAGGAGAATGGCACAACATATAGTCCACATAAGAYTGAAAATAAATTAGGCACAGAACATTTTTTGATTGTCATAATTGCTTACTCCTTTCAAAAATATTTTTAGGGTTTTTTTCCTTCCAAAGCACTTATTACCTGGGCACTGGGGAGAGGGGCTGCAGTTTCAAGCAGTGGAGGTCCCACTTCCTGGATTGCTGGGACTGGATCCATCGCTCCATATTTTTTACCATGTTCTGGTTTCAAACAAGAAAACAGCACACAACAGCTGCATCATAAATGCTGAACACTCATTTTAAACCAACTCTAGAGTATGTTGAAATAACTTCTATGGCAAAGGCTAACAATCTCCCCCCCCCAAACTTAAATTTTTTTCCATTTCCTGGTTTTCGGACAAAATAAGAGCCCCTTTCCTATTGTTTGACCACATCTCAAAAAGAAACAACTCCATTAACACAAAAGTGGCAGAGAAAAGTCTCTAATTAGGCAGTTGGAGACTTCATTCTTGTAAGATGGAGAATTATTATTCTTCTCTCACACCTTAAAAATAATGGAAGATACTGACTGCTCATTGACCGACTCAYGCTGCTTCCACATTAAATAACAAACTTTTGGACTCTCTATCCATCATGATGCAAAAATGCAGACACACACAATTAATCTTCACAGTCTTACCAGAGTGAGTGACATTAGCCTATTGACACAAGTGCTTCTGCCAAGCTTTACTGCATTAACCAGAATTATGAGATGTTTGAGTTTTAATTTATCTTTCTCTAATCAAATGCAATAGATATTACTCTATCTGATTAAGAACTGCTATTAAAATGGAAGTCATGTAAGATGTTCAAAAGAGCAAAACAAAAGTTAAAATCTAAACTGTAGAAGCGATTTCCACAACTTACAAAAAGGGAACAAATCCACAACACTTGAAGGTACACTAACCTGCATTCTGATTGCTACTGCAAGAGAACCAACAGTCTTTTCACCAGCAGGGTTATCTTGCTGACCACAGTTGTGTTTCTCTGAAAAATATAAGTATTGCACTAATAATAATCACAAAGTTTTTGTGAGTGGGAACATGTGTATTTGAAAGTTATATACTAATAAAAATTCCCTGAAAGTTGACTTGAAATTTAACAATATTAGTGACAAAATTATAAGCAGCTTCTTTAATACATCGAAATCACCCAGAAGGATGAATATACTGTGGAAATCAGAGTAACTATATGTTCTGAAACATGTTCTGAAACATATTACACAAACCCACACAAAAAAAAAAAAATTCACAGAGCTGGATTTGAAAAGCTGTATATATTCTTAAACAGAACACCTAAATGAGCATGGTAAAGACTGTCTTTTGACACATACATTATAGTGTAAGAGAACTATGAAATAATCACAAATACCATATAGGATTATTATAACTTGGAAACAGTTTATGCAAAAATTTTTGAGTAGCAATAGTTATCTTCAGCAGCATGATAGTAAAAGCAGGTTTTCTGGAGAGTCTACACAATTCAGAGTGACTYCAACATCAGAGACAGTTGTAATTATTTCTAGTTGCAATATATCAAATGATAATCATACATTAGCTACCCTAACTAAATATATTATTTTGTCATTTTGCTGTAATCCTTCTTCTGGCATGTTCTTCTGCTGTTGCTCTCTGACTTTTATCTAGACACAATTTCTCCAAAATTCACAATCTAGTCTCTTTGGGCATATCAAGGCCCTAACTACATTCTGAAGGGCGTAGACACAATTGTAATAAAAAATAACAACTGTACGCTGACAGCTTTAGCCTTTCCGTCACAGGGGAACTGAAGTGCAAACCCTGACCTGGTCAAGCTCTCGCTCTGCTCACCCCTTCTCTACCGGTCATAAAAGGCTCACGTTGCCTTGCACAATTACCCCTCCCTACTTKGTCCMAGCAGCAGCAGCAGCAGCAGCAGGGCACAGAGCACTCAGACTGGGGACAGCGTGGCAAGCAGAGCCACGCACTGGAGCCACCCAGCAGCCCCACACAGCTACAGCCCACTCCCCCACCCATCACTGACAGGGCAAGAGACCCTCTCTGCAGACACCCTCAGCCTCACTCCAAATATTCCTGATCCCTTCCCAAACTTCCTTGCCAGCAGGAATACACACATCAGTGACAGAACTAACCAAGCTGAAGGCAACAGTCCTCATATTAAACTCTAATTAAGAAAGTGTCTGAAAAGTCCTTCTATTTGCATTAACACTTGCATGCAATTAAAACAAACAAACAAACAAACAATAAAATCTTCTGGAGATGCTCAGCTTTRGATTTAGATGGAGGAATTTTACTGGAACAGTCTATTACAGTCATAAGCTGAGTCTTGTTGCTTTGAGACCAGGCTGGGAGAGCTGCCAAACAGACAAATGAAGTTGGAAGAATGAAGTTTAAAACCCCCTTTCAGACAGCTGTGCTTTACAGAAACATTTTGACTTTTTATGTTATTGGCTTGATGTGACTTTTTTTAATCAGGGCAGAGCTAGCATGTGTGTAAATACATATTAAGATTAGACAATTCCCTTCAATAAACTATTTCTCTCAGACTGCCTATGCTACAATCACCCCACAAATGACTAAGCAGCTTTTACAGGGGTGAAGGTGAAACCAGAGGTGAAAGTSATGCACGCATGGAGTTAGCAAGACAATCACAGAGTTGCAACAGCTCTCTTAGGATAATTTTTCCAGATGGAAGCTGGAATAGCACTCTCTGCTTTGGACTRCGGTCAGATCAGCTGAACTACAGACATGGTGCTCCCTCCTCTGACTCATGCCCTGTTGTGCAGATGAGAGAGAGCTGCTGTCAGGTGCTACGGGTCTGCTCAGGCAGCTCAGAATAGAGAAGAGGCAGGGAAAGGGCTGAATTTCCCACTAACAAACCATGCTTATAAGTGACCCCAAAGGAGCTGGACATCAAATGCCAAATAATTCTGGCATCCTTAATTTTTGTTCAGAAAGTTATTTTCATTTTCATCCATTTACATATAAAGTATATTCCTGCCAGACACAACCAGCACCCACCTGATTCCAAGAATGTCAGTGGAACAGATGCAGATGTTACACTGCTAAAAAATTGCACAATGTTTTAAAATTGTGATCATTTAAAAATCTTTGATCAGATTAAAAAAAAAAAAAAAACAAACAAACCACTTGAAAAAGAATACTGTCACTTTGGAGTGAGCACTTTGCTCTCCCGATTCACATTATTACACTTCCCCAATTCAGCTATGTCCTTGCAAATTTTGAGAGCTTTTAAAACTTGTGTTAGACTACATGTACGCCCACGCAAGTTGGAAACCCAGCAAGAACATGCACTATCTAGCAAGAACAAAAGTTACTTCACAACCATTATTGCTTTSAGGCTTCATTTAGCTCCTGTGACCCCACAGATGTTAAGTCGGACATTTCTAAAGCAAGAAAAAATCCAGAACAATTTCCAAGCACCTCAGCCAGATTCCATGGAAGTCAAGAGTCAGTTATAAGATTCAGTTGTTTCTCCAAGGTCACCACTACTCCACAACAGGCTTTTCACAAACATCTTGCAACTAAACTAAGTGCATTCTTCCTGTCAGACACTTGTGTTTCATGTACATCTCTAGTAAGCTTTGAGAACAACTTTTTTTACAGCTGGTAAAATGCACTCTGCTGTAATTTCATCGTTTCTCCAAGGTTCTGACAATCTCAAAAGTATAAACATCAAGAGAGATAGATATTTCATAAGTAAGTTMTATTTGAATTATCTTGATAAAAATCTCATGCTTTCAAAATAATGCAGTACTCAACAGAGTGCACTACTACAGCTTGAGAAATGCAAAGAAATGTATACACTTATGCCAAATCTTACATTTCCTGCCTTGGGAATGAATGTTACTGTGATATGTGATGCAGTTTTTCTAACAGCACACTTTCAGACAATGGAAACATTAATATTATCTACAGTTCTTTAGAGCAACTAAGGCACGCAGATATTCAAGTCTTAAACAGCATGCAGTTAGACTCCATAACATTCAGGTCTGTGAAGGCTCARACTCCCTTTTTAATGGAGAGAATTGTGTGGAAGAGGGACTTGCCCCARGCAGAACAGTGCTGGGAGAGTCCGATCACTCCTGGTACCCCTCAGGCTGCAAGGRCCGGCTTATCCCACCCTATAGGAACAGACCTGCACCTCCAGCCCGTCTGTCACACAAGGGGTTTTTCTGCTTAAAGTGAGGAGGGGAGATTTAATTTGTTTAAAGGTATGACTGCTGTACCACGACTCCCTCCCTTCTCTATCCCTTTCCCTTTCTCCCCCATTCTTCCTTCATGTCTGACTGTGTCATTCTAGTAGGTTGGGCACCTGATGAAGAGACCTGTGTGCCAAACCCTGCCCCACAGATATTTAACAGTTATATCCAAAAATCCCAAGGGGAAATAAATGGGCATGAGAGATGCAAGGAGTCTCCTATTCACTAGGCTAGGAAAAAGAAAACATGTATTTTTGGACAATTTGTGCAGCATCAGGAAGGGGTAAGGCTTGGTACCCACCCTTGAGATTCTCATTAGGATCAGAGTATTGCTTTGGGAGGTGAGAGATTAATCTCCAAATGCCTTCAGACAACTGAGTGAATAATAACCCAGATTTTCCACATCAGCAGTGCCTGTTCAAGTCAAGAGGATATCATGAAAGACAAGGAAAGAAATCTATTGCTAAGGCCATGCTTTGCATGGGAACAGCAGCTGCTTTACTATGAGCCTGATCTTGCATTAGTTCTGCTTAATTTGTCCTCAGGGAATATCCCTAGTTTAAAAACCGTGCAATTAGGTTTTCCCAGCTTTATGCCCATTTCCCTAGTTTTGTATCAATAGATGTCAATCTAGCACAATTGTAATAAGATTTTAAAAAACCCACATTACCCAGTCACGCTAACCATATACTTTCTCATTTTCTTATTCATTCACAGCATAATTTCAGGCAGATGCTAACAGTCAAATTCATATATACACCAAAAATCTAGAAAATATCTASAGATCCTCACAGAATTGTTAAAAATTTTACAGGAAACGTAAAATTACATGTTATAATTATTATTACACATTATTCTAGCAACAGAATAACTTATGGGAAGATTTCYTAATTTTAATCCAAATAAAATTCTGTAACATTTTTCAACTGAGGAATTAATGAACACATACACCGGCCACAACAAGTCAAGGAAAAAGGAAGGAGGTGAATCCAAAACTCATTTTTGTAGGAATAATTACTAATTAATCATTAATAATTAAGGCAGGAGACATTCTGCCTCTTCTTAGCGACACATGATTTCTGTACTCCCTCTTGCACCACTTTCTGCAGACACTTTCACAGCACTTTGTAGTCAGTATTTCTTCCCTTCTTCTCTTTTCCCCATATTACAGGTGAGTGCACAGATGTCACAGGATAAGACACCGTGCAAAACAGCACAATGTAATAGCTCATCTGATGACCCAAAAGTCTTCCTTCTGAATTCTCTGAATCCACTGTCTCATCGCTTATTCAACAATCCTGGTATGAAGAATCTGTTCCAACTATTTTTCACTCACCCAACATCTTTTTCCTATTTATACATCGGAGCAAGTTGCACACATGCCCTGCACACTCACCTTTGGAGGCCATTCTGCAAAGATGCAGCTTTTAACCACACTGCAGTGTTGCCAAGATACCACACACCCCTCAAAGGCTCTCAAAGTGCATCACTTGCAGGAACTGTCAACTTCTAACCCCTCTTACCTGAGAGCAGGTCGTGAGCACAACTGATAATTGTGGCTCCAGGCTTCATCCAGCTCACAGGAACATCACTGGGTTTCRTACTGCCAAACACCACCACATCTGCGTGACGAAGCTAGGGACAGCCCAAAACAMCCCCAGAAACAAAACAAGCATTTAATCTTAGAAATACATACCTGAATATGCATCTCAAAAATATTYAGACTTTTAAAGCAATAGCCTTTTGAGCAAAGTTTTTACAGACAACAAGTAACAAAAAAAGAAAGATCAAAACTGATGGTTTGATTCTTAACTGCCACAAAAATTAGGAACAASAGCATTTAAAATGAAGTTAACAAAYTGTGAGATCAGGTGAGTGGGGTTAAAGTCAGTATCAATATTTAATGGGGATAATATCCCTCCATGTGAAAAGTTCTACTGTTGTCCTAGAGTCCAAGATAACTTGGAGCAACTTAAAAAGGGTTGAAAGACAGTAAATAGGCAATTATAAAGAGTACAGTCAGAGTGTCTGACAGTAGAAAACCAGGCCAGCTGACAGGAATGCAGGATGACCCCTTCTGTGAAGATGAGTGCCTTTGAAGAACACCAATTAAAGCACTTTTTGCCTTCTCAGTTCATGTTTGCTAATCACTGCCCTTGATTTAGCTCAACCTGACAGATGTTGGGAGCAAAAYTGGCTAATACACAAATTCTTGTAATCAAAGACATAAGTGCCTTTCTTCCCCCACTCCCTCTGAAACAGAACCCTGTACCACCATGAGATAAAGGACAGCACCAGAAGCAGATRTATAAAGATCCACTAAAAAAGCTTAATAGGCACAGCACTGAATGTAAAAATTATTTCAGAAATATAGCAGTTTTGGTAGTATTTTGAATAAATGTAAATTAATTCCAAGTGTCACAAACTCAGTGAGCCACTCTACGAACTCATTTGTGACTGACAAGCGTTCCAGCTTCTTTTTTGGCCAAAAGTGCTCTGACACAACCCTGCCCAACACTCTTGCCAAGAAAGAACAGCTACAAATCCTGTCAGGAGAGCAGGTTTTTGGCACRGCTGAGCATCCGGGAGGGGAGAACATCGTAATTTCTGCGGAAAAGGCAGAAAACTAAAAAAACTCCATCTTCCCCTCAGAGGACAASACAAGGATGGCCTAACCCTCCTTAGAGACCCACATATGGAAACAAAGCCAAAAGTGTGGGAGAAGGTTTAGTTGCTTGACAAATKACTAATGCCACGAGCTGATTCAGGCTTCAGTCACATGTCCAGCAACACTCCTGTGATGGTCTGTGCATGGTCATTCAGCCAGGTTCAAACTGCTCACACTCCAGAATCTGGTGCAAATATCAGCTTAGGTGCCACTCCCAGAGGGCCACATAAGTCACCATGCTTTACCAGTGTCAGGTCAAATGACACCAAGAGACCTGCAAGGAAATTCAGATAAAAACATGCTGTATAATAACCTATGCACCAAGAATACCATGCTGAAGGCACACTTTGCCCTGCAAAAGCAGGAAATCTCTGCTCTAACAGTCAWCATCAACACAGAGCAGAACAGCGATTTTTCCCAGATGCATGAGCACAGCCCTTTTTTTTGCAAGGGAAAAAATAATTCATATTCTAACAGTTATAAATCAAATACTATAAGTCAGGATGCCTTTCTAGGCAAAGCCTCTGGGACAAGGACTGAGAGCTTCGCACACGGCTCAGCACCGTGAATTGATGAACAAGTTGAGAGCTGTATGCAACAAGTAATAATCCTGATGAATGTGCAGCCAACATACTTATGACACAATTGATTCAATGTAACTGTAATGTCAGAAAACAACTGATGAGACCAAATATTCATCTCTATGACTACCAACCCTAATGTTGAAAAATGTTCTTAACAGCTGAACACAATTATTTTTGCAGCCAACATTAACACTGGTTCYGATAGCTAACGTCGCACATACCCATAAATTTTACCAGAAAACCAGCTGGACCTTTCATCTCATTGCCCCGCCCCACCTCCCCCATGAAAAAAAAAATTGAATCACATGGCAGCAAAGAGTTGTCCCATGGGTTGAAGACACACTGATTTCTCAGAACTTTCCCCAGTGTGATTTCATTTTCCTTACGTTAAAAAGAAAATAGTATTTTATCTGCAACTATTGAAAAAGTTCCTGCAGAGTCAATAAAATATATATCACAAACACTTCAGAGACATTTTTCCCCTGTGAGTATTTTTTAAAAGTATATGGAGAAACTGGGAGAGCAAGTCCACTGAAAGCAAAATACTTTCTGGGTGTCCTTGGAAGAGATTTATGTGATCTTCATCAGGGAATTTTAGTTTCCCTTGCAAGAAGTTGTGCCCATGCCTCCTTCGCTTTTAGCTTTTTCTCTCTTGCTGTAATCTACTCTTTTGACTGCCCATTCAATCACTGAAGCAAGAAGCAAGCCTGGCATGCGTGTTCAGGGTTATCTCCTACATCAGAAACTAATCACAGGCGTTAGAGATGGAAAAGTCCCATTAAATCATCACATCCAGCTTCCCCAGCAAATGCAGTGCAGTCCTGGACGGAGGACACAGAGGACACATGTGACAGGAACCAGATGCTACAGGCAGCCATGGCCAGAAGGTCAAGGAGATACCCATGAGGGAGAACATGTGGCTGCCTGCCCCACGCTCCCTGGACAGCAAGGCTCCATTCCATCAGGCTGGATAGAGGAAGGAATGACAAGCATCAGGCTAAACCCTCCCTACTGCACGAGGCAACAGGCTGGAGACAGAGTAAGCCAATAGCCCAGTAGTATCCTGCCTTCTCACCGGTAAATATTTTTTCAGTTGGGAAGAGCTGTGCCAATAAATAATCTGAAACCTTACCTCATAACAAAAWATGATCCTCTCCACCAAGATTTAAATTGAAGCAGATTAAGAAGCACCACCCATTCCCAAGACAGAACACCAAATGTTAAAACAATACAGGCTTTCCAGCCAAGTATTAAATGATAATGGCACAAAGTAGCTGTATATTACAGATAACTGAAACTCCATTTTGCTGTGAAATCTGCATGAAATTTTCATTTTCCCATAGTCAAAATGGACTGCTACAAAAGCCATTTTTAAATACATGATCAAACGAAATAAAAATTGAAATTTATAATTGAAACGTTAACGCCTCAGCATCCTGGATATGAAGCTATGCCATATAAAATTTAAGAGACAGGATGAAGAATAGGAGTCTGATAAAAAGTTTTTTCACAACTCTCTTTACGAAAAGAATCTTTACACACATCAGTTACACATCAGGCTCCACTTTAACCACAGCAATTCTGATTACTTTCTGAAATCTTGAAAWTTTTTTAAGTCAGTGACTAGTTTCAGGTACTTTTTCCACCAATGTACTCATTATGTGGTTCCTTCCAGCTTTTCCTGCCACGTACCTGGTCTCATGTTCTTTCATGTTCACAACACAAAATGCATTCTTCTGCTGTAACAAGACTTTTTGTATTACCAAGATAGCAGAACTAGAACAGCAAATGGCTAAGGGATGTCTAAGAGTTTGAAGCTTAAGTGCTGGCTCTAAGGAAAAGCACCCTGCAGCCAAAATAAGTTCTTTTCCAACCTGAAAAGGAACCTCCCATTCAGCACTCTAGCTGAACCACTCTCTTGCTTCCAAACCTCACTTTGGCAAACAACTTTTCTATTTCTAATTATACCTACATAGAAAAATTTTCAGTTCTTGTACAAYAAAGTTGTAGGACAGCAGCTCTCTTAGAATAGCCATGATATGTTTCACATACAGACTACATTAAAGGTAACTTGCTRAAATAATGACTGACTGAATTTAGATGACTGAAACAAAATTCTGTTTTCTTACAGGTASGAAGTATTACCCATCTTTTGGCAAGAAAACAATCCATTTTTTTTCTATATGAATTCACTTGATAACCTCCTTCCAAACTAGAAAGCGTAATTCTGACTTAACACAGGATTAAACAAGTCAGCTCCCATTCTTCACATGTAATATTGAACTGACTTTTGGGGAGTCCCCTTTTATAATTACAAGGCAGATGTTCCTAAAAGTATGTCACTGGGTCCTTCCTCAGACACAAAGCAGTGAACATGCTTTGAAGAGTTATCGACACAAAGCTTAACAGAATGATAACATCTGAAGTATTTCCACCCAGATGCTTATGCATTTATCTCTCACTTTCTAATTTCTTTTACATTGAATATGTCAGTGCAAAAAGAACAATGCTTTCTCCTAGCAACTTTGCACAGATGTGCCAGAACCTTCAAAAATGCTTTCTTTCATTTGTGAATTATYTGAAAATCCAGGAAGCTCAGGAGTTCTGAAGGACACGGCTCAGCTGTGCTGTGATGATTATGTTTAAGAGCCRAAGTCAAGCAAACCCAAAATGGAACAAAAAGAAATATTAATAATCTGCTCAACTTAACAAAACATGAAGTGGGGAGGGAAAAGAACATTGAAATTTTGTCCATTATTCATTCAGATCAAATCAATGAAATGAAAATGTTCCATTATTTATTTCATTCCCTTTTCCTGTCATAGGATAGAACAGACTTGCTTCAAAGGAGCACACAAAGTCAGCATTAGAAGGCATTATGCTGTTTGTTAGGAAAGCTATGCCCATGTTGTTAGCTTTTCCTAAGGTGGACTAAAACATACCTTCCTCTTGATCGTTTTCAAAATATTTTTGTAAAAGTACAGGAGTAAAAGAAGCAATAACAAGTCCATAGCAATACAAAACCTTATCCAAAAAACCCTACAATCTCAGTTTCGTGTAACTGATTTAAATGAAAAGAATTTCTAAAGAAAACACTTGTTGTTATACTGTCGTTTTTAAAAAGAACAAATCAGCAGAGCCGGTCTAAGGTAATGTAATAACCATTTAAGAAAGGCATCACATCACTAAGGTCAGGATTAGTGCTTCAATCCAAATAGGCCAAGGGGTTAAGACAAATAACATACCCCTATCCTTAAGATAAATTTTCCCTTTCCTGTTATATGTTGCAAAACAAATGCATCACAGTGAAAAGTTCATACTCTTCCAAAGTTCATCTCTCACTTCATAAGTGAAGTTATTATGCTACCTCAGGTTATGCTTCCAAACAACAGCACACAAACTGCTACTTTTTGTAGAAGTGTCACATTTAGAGCAAGGAAAAGTTAGTGTATTGTGCAGGAAAAACAAAACATGAATTGATTCTTCCAAGTCTTTGAAAAACCTCAACACTGACTAACACATTTTCTTAATTCTAAGTTCAAATAAAAAATCAAAAGAAGAAACCTTATGAACACTTAAGTTATTTTTACTTAGTCAGCATTTTAAACAAGAAGAAGAATATAAATTTTATAATCTTGCTATCTAACAACATTGTACTTCAAATACAGGTTGCCACAAGGCAGCAGTACCATGTGGTTTGGTAGGAAACTTGTGCTCAGTTTCTGACTCTCCAGCTTCTGGGAATATGAAATAGGAGACTTTTCCCTGCATGCATTAGATTTTATCAAGGAGCTAGAGTTAACTGTCAGAGTTACATCCAGACTGGGACATGCTGCTCCAGGCTCACAGGTGAGGAACAGGACAGTAGGTTTCCCCATGGCTCTGCTGCTTAGTTGTACAGGTGAAGTACAAACTCTTTTACTGCCAAAAACTAAAATGACCCTGGGAAGACTGAAGTGCATAAAGRCTCAAACTTAGGCCTCCCTATCTGTTTCCCATCAGTGACCTGCTGCAAGAGGTAAGCTTGCATGGGGAATGCCAAAAAGCAAAGCACGGTTATGGGAAAGCATCTGGATGGAAGGAAACAGAATTCTCTCCAGCTATTGACAGAACTGCACAAGCAGCTCTGGGCCCAATCCAAATTTTTTGCTGTGAGCCGGTGGAAACACCTCTGGCCACCCTGTCACCCACCCCATCCAGCCCAGAGCAGCCCTCTAGCACAGCCCCAAGCCATGAGAAATAACTGAGGAATGAGACATGGCAAGGATCAAGTTCATAGCACTCCATCTCCCATATGTTTCCTAAGTGCTGTCAGTCACTTAAAAGCCCAGAGCTGAGACAAGCCTGACAAAAACATCCGCAGCTGAGAAAACACGGGTTTGCCAGAGAACTTTCTACCGCAGCTGCTCGAATTTATTTCCTCCTCCTGTCGGCGCCTCCACAGCCCGGAGGTTCGACACCATCCTTTTGCCTCGGCTGCCACCCTGTGGCACGGGCTGTCCCGCACAGGAGCTGTCCCCGGCACCTCGCCCCGACTGCAGGCAGGACCTGGAGTTCAGAGAGGGATC